TGGGCGATTTTTAAATCAAAAGTTGGCAGTCAGAAGGAGATGAATATTGTTGGAAGGCTTGGACTGGGTGAAAGAAATTCTGTAGTGAAAACTGTTTTTGGATTGCAAACACTGCGTTCATGCAGCCTAAACGTCGAGTGTATACATGGACATCACCAAATGGACAACATCGCAATCAGATTGACTATATACTCTGCAACCAACGTTGGAAAAGTTCAATCCAAGCCATAAAAACATTCCCTGGCGCTGATTGTAGTTCTGACCATGAACTACTTGTAGCAACCACCAAAGTGAAATTCTGTAACATCAAAAGAAAGGCCGCACCTAAAGGATTCGACGTCTCAAAAATTCCAGTTACATATGCTGTTGAAATTAAGAACAGTTTTGAGCTCCACAGCATGATGCAAAAGGAGCCAAATGAATTGTGGCATGATATAAAATCAACAATCAATCAAATTGCACTTAAGCATATACCTTATAAAAAAACGGGAAAAAGAAGTGACTGTCTATCAGAAAAAACAATTAAAATTGCTGATGAAAGAAGAAGAGCCAAGGTAATTGGGGACCATGTTGAGGTAAGAAGGTTGAATGCAGAATTTCAAAGAGCAGCAAGGAAGGACAAAGAAGAGTACTGGGATCAACAATGCGGAAAATTAGAAGACAGCAAAAAAGGCCATACCAGAAATCTTTTTGCAAAGGTAAAGAAAGCTCGAATTCCGTTTTCTGCTCGCAAAGGAGCAATAAAAGACAAGAATGGAAAAACCATGATTGATCGGTAAGGCATCAAATGCAGATGGAAGGAATATGCAGAAGAGCTGTTGGCAGCCAATGATAACGTGGAACCAGTACTTGGGGACCTAGTAGAGTTAGAGCCAGCTATACTTAATGAGGAAGTAGTATGGGCACTGAAGAAGCTACCAAACAACAAAGCTCCTGGAATTGATTATATTCCAGCTGAATTGCTAAGACCATCCCATCAACAGTGATAAAAGAAATCTGCTAGAAAATCTGGGAGACTATGAAGTGGCCAAAAGAGTGGAAAAGATCAGTTTTTATTCCTCTACCAAAGAAAGGCGATTCACGAGACTGCAACAATTACCGCACAATTGCATTGATTCCTCACATAAGCAAAATCTTGCTAAAAATTATTCAACAGCGCCTAAGACCAGTCATTGAAAGAGAATTACCTGACTTACAAGCTGGTTTCCAAAGAGGTCGAGCTACACGTGATCAGATTGCTAATCTATGTTGGATTATGAAAACATGTAATGAATATCAAAAAAGCATCTACATGTGTTTCATTGATTACACCAAGGGATTCGACTATGTTGTACATGACAAGCTATGGAAAGCATTGCAAGAAATGGGAGTGCCAATGCACCTTGCACAGTTAATAAGGTCACTTTTATACCGACCAAGAAGCTACTGTTCGGACACAATATGGCGAAACTGAGAGGTTTTAAAATTGGAAAAGGTGTACGACAAGGTTGTATTCTCTCCACTTTTCTTTTCAATCTGTATGCAGAGGTCATCATCAGGAAACTAGATCTAGAAGAATCTGAAATTGGGTGAAGATAGGTGGTAGGAATATTAATAACCTTCGATATACTGATGATACAACTTTACTGGCAGAAACAGAAGAGGACCTGAAACACCTGATAGCAAAAACACAGGAGGAGAGTGAAAAAATGGGACTCCGTCTTAACATAAAAAAACAAAGATCATGACAACATCTAAAACTCGAACAACCAAAATATACATTGATGAAGAGGAAATAGAATGTGTTCAGGATTTCTGTTTTCTAGGATCTATGATAAACCAAACAGGAGATTGAGCTCCTGAAATTTTAAAAAACAGAAAGCATTAGGTCGAAATGCCTTGCATTATGCAAAAATTGTCGAAAAGTAAGGATATCAGCCTCATCACCAAATGCAAGCTGGTAAACACAATAGTTTTCCCTATAACAACGTACGGGTGTGAAAGCTGGGTTATGAAAAGAGCTGATAGAAAGAAGATTGATGCATTCGAATTATGGTGTTGGAGAAGGCTATTGAGGATACCCTGGACAGCAAAGATGTTACCAACAGAGATGTTTTAGAGCGAGTTAAACCAGGAATAACTTTAGAAGGAAAGATAATCAAATTACAGCTGACTTGTTTTGGGCATGTGATGCGATCTGATTCCTTAGAGAAGGCAACATTACTTGGTATGGTCAGTGGGGGGAGAAAAAGAGGAAGGCCGAAAACACACTGGTTGGATGCTATAACATTGAACCCTGGCCTAAGCATGTATCAGCTAATAAGAAAGGTGCAAGATCGGAAAAAGTGGAGAGAGACGGCCCATGCAATCGGCCAAGAGTCAGACACGACTGAATGGATAGAGAGAGATTTTCTATCTTGTCTTTTGGGCAATACTTGAGAGGCATTACTGGGCATGTACCTAGTTGGAATGTCTGCCATGCCCTACAATATCAAAGTTTTATCTGGAGCCATAAGTGGACACTTTCTGGCAGATACTTACCTCTGGTGAACCACGTTCTATCTTCTGACAAGAGCTTTTCTGCTCATATTGCTCACAAAATCCCAATTTCTGTATTTATATATGTAGATCTTACTGCAAAGATGTGAAGCACACAGTGCCCCTGGAAACAGGTGATTCAAGAGCTCAGAATCCTTTATTTTTAGTTGGGGGTAAAAAAAAAAAAATACTTTTTTTCTTTTTAATAAAATAATATGAACTGTCAATGGGCAAGGGTCAAAGTCACATCTGAGATTTAATCACTGTGCTTACCATGCAGGCAATCCATCTCCACAGATATCAATTTGTATCCTCAGTAACACACATTTTTTTTATCCTTCAAGTATGAAATTCAATTAAAGCAGAACTCCAGAGAATGAAAATATAAAATAAATACAAGAGGCGTGTGTATTTTTACTTTAATATTGATGTGTTTCTTCCATTTATGTGCAAGTAATCCAGTGTGAAACCTTGCCTCTAGTAGGAGCTTTCTGTAATAAAGACCTGTCACTGCCGCTTCCTGTTCTTGTTAAGGGTGACTGGTCTTGTCTCCACCCCTCCTGTAGTTTTCTGCAGGCAGCCTAAAGTGGGTGGGGCCTGCTGGGTTACTCCCACAACTCTGCGTGTAGCACAGTGCTGATGTCACTGTTATTTTTATATGGTTTGCAATGCATTAGGTGCACACAAGGTTGAATGATATCCTTTGCGGCAATGGAGCATATATTCAAATGAAAGTATTCAAGCCCAGATTCAATTTTTGTTGGCTTAATATTTTTTCCTATCACTGTAGACCATACAAAAAAAATTAACACTGCACAGAAAGTTTCTTATTGTGCGATTGCAGTTTTTCATGCCATAGTATAGAAAAAAAAAACAATGATGCGATTAAATTTTGTCTTTCATGGCAAGCAAAAGATGCAGATTTTTTTACCAGCCCCCGCCTCCCCAACACAAATGGATGTAAACAAACTGCTCACATCCCCATCCTCCTTTCCCAAACAAATACTCACCTTGATCCTATGGCTTGAAATACCACAAGACTGCACTCTAACCCATTGCAAAAGAGCATTGTCATGAGATAGTACAATGTACAAGCCTAGACTCTGCACAATGTACAATACAAGTAGTAGAATCAGTCAGAAAGCGGCTGGATCATATCACCTTGCTAAGTGATCTACTGCTACCAATTTGGAAATGTACAATTACACAGTATAAGTATTACTATCATACTACGGGAGTCCAGGCTTATGCATTAACTTGCATTGCATTGGTAATTTATTCTATTCTAACAAGATTTCATTAAAATCCTTTTTTGGACTTAATAAATATTAGCATGGTACTTAAACTGCTTTTCTAAAATTTTGGAATTCCTCCAGGCTCCTCTATACCCCCAATTGGGGTTTGTTGTGTCATATGGGTGTAGCCTCAGCATAACAGACTGATTTATCAGGTCACTTGCACTATTGGATATTAAAATCAAGCAATCTAGTGCCTTTAACACAAGTACTCCATCTTCAGCGATATAAATCTCATCAGGTATTTTAAGGGTTGCATACTATATTCAAAAATGGAAAATAAATGTTTTGGCTATAGATACACTTTAATACAATGTACAATCAGTTTGTAACATTTGACCAACATTAGGGATGATGGTTGCTACATATGGCCAGTTCAATCATTTATAATTCCTTAGGGAATGGGACTGGGTTCTCACGACCAGATGACCACAAGTATTTCCCAAACATCAAATGGAAACGTAATGGAAATAAAAATTGCAGTCATAGAAATTGTGCACATGGCCAGCATAAGAGATGTTTCTTGTTTTTGATGAATAGAGAAGCTTCATTCTCAGTCACTTGTCTTCTGTCAGCCAAATGGTTGAATCTATTATAATAAACTGACTGCCAAATATATTTCTTAGCTGCAAAAATATTAACACAAGACGTAATGTGCAGCCTACAGGTTGTATAGGTGCTCCAAACACACACTCTTCTTTATTGAAAGACAAGGATGTAAAAGACTGGCGATCAATGTTACACTGGTAGTTAAAAGCAGGGCTTTAAAGCTAAACTTCAATAGCAGTCATTCATTAATCTGGTCCTTGGGGGCAGGGTCAATAGCACACACCGATGCTGATCTGTAGACTCCAAGTGCATGGTCGCCAGGGAGCTCATGACAGACAATAAAAGTGCACAGGTCAGTTGCACCATGGTCCTAGCTCAAGCTCCTTAAAACAATAATTTACACAGTTCCTCATTCATTTCATGATAAGGTCGGCCATCTCCAAGGAAAAAAAAAAAAAAAAAAAAAACAGGAAGCTGACCATCAAAAAGAAAAACACTCTTCCAGAAACCGGTGTGAAGGCTCATTGATGGGCTCCACTGCAGATGCTTCAAATTGCTTTTATAAGTCGCTGCCCAGTGTGATGGCATTTACAAAATGTATTAGTGCAAATGTCCCAGAGTCTCTTGCAGCTCCACAGTTCATTGCTGGGAACCGCCAACCATTTGCCCCGACTGCTGTTGCTGCTCGAGCTTTCGAGAAGCTGTGGGAAGAAAACACAATGGTGACAAGAGCAGGTTGTGCGAAAATATAAACATTCCAGGTCTTAAACACCAAAGGGTATTTAAAGAAACCCTATCACCAGACCATTCAGTTCAACAACAATCTCCCAAAGTTATACGTGCAGTTAAAGCGGAACTACACTGCGTCTGAGCACTGCAAACAAAAATGCTGTTTAATTCATTTATAATGTTCAAAGCAAATTCACCGATTCATCCATGTCTCCATGCTTTATTTTGCTGAGAAATCATTTCGAAAAACACGTCCAAGCATTTTTGGCCCTGGCTATTTCGAGTGAGGGCAGATGATTCATTTAGCATTTACTTCCAGGAATCCATCTGCCTTTAGCTCAGGCATGTAGGAAGAAGGGGGGGGGGGTTAGCTGAGAAAACCCATCCTTCCCTCCTGAAGTCTCCTGGGATATATGGCATCATTTGTCTAGGCCTGGAAAACAGGACGTAACAGAAGAAATGTAAAAAAAAAAAAAAGTTTAACCACTAGCCTACAGGGCACTTTCACCCCCTTCCTGCCCAGGCCAATTTTCAACTTTCAGCGCTGTTGCAATTTGAATGACAATTGTGCGCGGTCATGCAACATTGTAACCATATGAAATTTTTATCATTTTTTTTGAGACAGATAGAGCTTTCTTTTGGTGGTATTTTATCACCACTGGGTTTTTTATTTTTTGCTAAACAAACCAAAAACTACTGAAAATGTTGATTAAAAAAAGTTTTTTTCTTAGTTTCTGTTATAAAATTTTGTAAATGAGTAATTTTTCTCCTTTACTGATGTGCGCTAATGAGGCTTCAGTGATGGGCATAGATAGGCTGCACTGATGAGGAGGCACTAGTAGGTGGCACTGATGGGCATTGACAGGCATCACTGGTGGGCACTGAAAAGCAGTACTCATATATGGCACTGATAGGCGGCACTGACTGAAACTGTTAGGCAGCACTGACGGGCACTAATAGGTGGCACTGACGGGTACTGCTTGGCAGCGCTCATAGGCAGCACTGACTGGCAGATAGCTGGCACTGACTGGCACTGATAGTTGGCACTGAAAGGCAACTCAGATGGGCACTGATATGTGGCACTGATGTGTACTGATATATGGCATTGATGGACACTGACAGGTGGCACTGATGGGGCTACACTGATCATCAGTGCCCTGATGATCAGTGTAGATGTCCCCTATGAGAAATGCCGATTACCGGCTCTCCTCTCCTCACGAGCCGAAGTCATCGGCTCTTTCCGCTGATTGGTGATCCGATATGTCCCAGGGACACAGCGAACCACCGATCGCCACGCTGCACGCTCCTGGGGTCACGCACGCACGGTTAGAGTGGGAGGACGTCATATGACATCCTCCCAGAACGAGAGAACCTCCACCCATCCGTCATTTCCTTATATGGTGGTTAAATAAAGTAAATATGATATACATTCTTATCTATTTACTAATGCTAGTAGCATAAAGATTAAAAATAGTCAAAGTTGATTGAGCGAGTGACGTTCTGCTTTAAGGTATTTTAGACATCTTATTTACATGTAAAGCCTCCATTGAGTTGACAATCAAAAATCCTGAGACTGCTGCTGGGTGCCACCATCTTTGGTTGTGATGTCAGCAGCACCTGGAGACTCAGAGCTGTCATTCAATTGACACTCCTCCCCCGGTCTAAACGGTTATGTAGGAAGGCAAGGGGAGGGGTAGGGTGGATGAGCTGGGCCAGCACATACTGTAAAAAGACATTTCCAGAAGAGGAGGTCTATGACATGCAAGGAAAGAGGGCAGTGCTAGGGAACAGATTCTTCCTACAGTAGTTAAATTTTCTAGCAAGTTTAGAGAGACATTGAAAATGAACAAAAATAGTTTTTTTTAGAAAGGAAAAACACTGCAAGTAAGCATTCAAAAAAAAACCTTGATTTTTTTGTGCTTTTATTTTTTTTTAAGTTGGCTTTCTTTAAAGTATAAAAAATGACCAAAAAACGCCATAATTCCTGATATTTTCCATGAAGTCCATTTTGTCACACAATCGGCCCCTTACCGGCTGCACTCCTCCGCTGCTCCGACAGTGTATAAATTTCCTGCAACTGCTTCTTCTGGTCATTGCTGAGCGGTGCTGTCAGTGAGTGATACCAGACTGGGTCTCTGCTCTGTATGCCTGAGTCAGAAGAAGAGCAGCCAAAGACATGATCAGCAATTTTCTATGTACAAGGAAAGATCATAACACTCCCCCTTACTATGGGAGCAAAAACCAGTTGTATACCTATGTATAGCGATATTAATGTGTGTAGTGTACTTGTCTTATGTCAGTGGCTTTAAAGTGGATAACGTATCACATAAAAATGTTGTCATGCTCAGTAATGTGTCAGTGTAGCACTTCTAGATACTTATTCCCTCCCACAGAGATCACAGCTATCTCCCTCTCATAATGCCATCATCAGCTTCTCTCTCCAATAGGACGGAAGAGTCTTTGTTTAGGCATTATCCAGGGTCACCATCTACTTCCTGGACTAAAATGCCAGCTTGGAGATGATACAATCATGTAAATCCTGGTGCCTGTATAGTTCTTAACTGTGTTCACAAATGTATGACACAAATCAGCACCTTGCTGAAGCCTCTCACCTTGTGACTTGCTGTAAATTTACAATCACTGAGCAGAAAAAAAAGACATAGGAAATGCTTCTGACTATCTGCAGCAGACTGATGATATCCTCTCAGCTTCGACAAAGTCACTGACTTGAGTTTAAGGATGTTTTAATGATAAAGGGGAAGCTTTTCTGAGAAACAATATTACTGCTGTATTTTGTGACATGTCAGAAATGTATTCATGAAGAGTTACTATATATCTACTTTGAAATAACTGCACAGCTTTCCAAGACCCTCTAAAAGCCATTATTAGGTCAGGTTACATGCAAGCAGCCGTGCACTGTGGGTGCCATCATCAGCAGCATAGGTAGCACATGGCCTGCCAACACAAAATGGGACCGATCTGAATTAATAGTAAACTATTAATAAAAAATCAACAAAGAATATCATTCTATATAGTGTGTGCTTGCCTTGATACAAGGCCCCTAGCGTGGTTTCTGTCTGCTCTCCCATTCCTCTGCTATCTGTACAGGTAACTTCTGACAGTCTATTTGAACACCAGTACAGAGGTGGTAACTGACAACCTCAGCTTTGCTTGTTTCCCTGAGACTCTGTTGAAGTGCACACATCCATTCCATCCACTCAGATTACACTCAGTTCTGTGCTGTGTACTGGGCAGACTGACATCAGATGCATATCCCCTGCCTCTTGGAAGCTCAGAAATGCTGTGTAAATTCTGTACCTGGAACGGATGTAGAGGAATGAAATGGGCATAACAACAGGTACAACTTACGTAGGAGGATTTGTTTCATCTTTGTGCATCAACCGACATTAGTCATTTCACTGGGTATGTGTAAGGCTTCATGTACATGAGTTTAGGAGCTTTTGGCATTTTTTTGCCAACGCTCCTAAACTCAATTCCAAAAAAGCCAATGTGTCCATGTACAGATCGGCTTTTAGCAGAGTTTAGGAGCTGCCGCGCTTAGGTGAGGAACCTCCCTCTCCTGAATGCGGAAGATTCACGTTCAGGATAGGAACGTTTTGACCACCGGCCACAGAAAACCGCAAAACACGCCAAAATCGTGGTGCCATGGTTTTGCCGTGATTTGTGGTTTCCCGCGGCCAGCGGTCAAGGTAGGCTCATGTACATGGAGCCTTAGGGTTTACAAGCACTTCAATATAAATACCAGTTAAGTGTATAGAAATTTAAACTGTATACACCCCAAGGCTAGTGTCAGATCTGCAAGCTGGGCATTATGAACTCCATGCAGCGCATCCCATCAAAATGCTGCAAGCAGGACTTTTCTTTACCATAACCCACAGATGAACAGGCCCTAGTGCCTATTCTCCCCCCCCCCCCCCCCAGTGGTTCTAAACTTCAAGCCAAATTCCACTCTAAAGACATCTCTCTGAACATGCTAGCAGATTTCTGGCTGCACCTGGTTTTGATATTCTCAGAGCCACTGACCCAGAAATAGTTTTTTAACTACTTACAGCAATATCATTTGTGGTGTCAGGTTTTTTTTAAGGGCTCTCCCTAATGTGGGAGCCTTGTAAAATTTTGCCTTCACTGGTTGCTCCTTATCAACATGATATTAATGATATTAAGTAAAACCAGACTTTTTTTTTAGACCCATACCTATTTGAGGCTTACCTAACAAGACACCTGTAAAAAACTGGTATTCATCCAAGGCATCATGGCAATCAAGCGGAGTACTAAACCCTTCTAAGGCCGTCTCCTCCAGTGCTTCATCATCCCAGTCCTCATCGTCATCCTCCTCATCATCATCCCGGGTGCTATCCTGCATGGCCTGGCCCAGGCTGTTTGCCTCCTCCTCGTCACTTGGAATCTCCTCTTCAAATGAAACGATTTAATTTAGTTCAAATAGAGTATAGGTAAAGCAAACATTTATTTTAGTTTTGGAAGGAGGATTTTATTGTTGTGTCTTCACTAGAGATATTCACCCTCTATTTGTCCCAGTGATCATTGTCACCCAGATAGAAAATGGTTTGAAATCCAAAATGTTAGAGCAGTCATCAGAAAACTAAGTGGCAACAAGAGAGAGGTAATTTCTCCTAACAATGGAGGGAATATTTGTCACTTCCTGTTGTATTTCTAGGACAGGAAGTGAAAGAACATAAAAAAGATTCCAGATGTTTTACTCATACCCGACTCTACCTGTGACATGGGAAATGGGAGTGCAGCTGACACTGGGACAGGAAGGCACAGACAGCAATAAAAACATTGTCATACGTTTTAAACTCTCCCCACTTAACAAGTGTTTTTGTCTGAGCACCTGTTAGAGAGACTTCATATCACTTCCTGTCCTGACAAAAAATGAAGAGACTCAGAAGGCCATGAAGACCTGATATAGACTCTAATACCTTGCTCTATTCAAAACCATGCATGTTTGGTTAGAGTTTGGCTTTAATTGCATACAATATAACTTTAGGCAAATCTAAAAGACACAAAATGAATACAAATAAAGGCTTGTTGATAAGAGGAGATATCAGAATGAGGAGCTCATCAGTGTGCTGCCCCTCCTTTCACTATCCAGTCATAGGCTGGGGAAGCGACAAGACCTGCAAGTGTTACTTAACCGTAACAGAGAAAAATCAGGTCTCCTTCCCTGCCAAGACAGGACTGTGCTGATATTTGAACTGAATGCACAGAAATACAAATCATTTAGCAGGTAAACAGCTCCCTTATATGCATTTGTGTATTCAACTACATGCCTGGATTTTTACATAATACTGTTCTGTGTGTAGCAGCATGCAAGGTTTGAATAGGACAATACAGCTTTCTTTCCTGTTTCACACTTTGCTGCATGAAAACGGACGTGTAAATAAAGCTGACCATATACTGTTAGGTTAATCAGCAGGCTGAACAAAAAAAAATCTAACAGAGTCTTCCATTCACAAAAACAAGGTGGATGGAGGAATCCTTCCCGCTGTGACATTGTATTCTGACAGTTGCACTAACAACTGTCAGAATACACTGATCAGATGCTGATCAGCAAATTTTCCAACATGTCACTTTGACAGAAGTTGATCAAATGATCAACTTCTGTCAAGCGAGGATGACCACACACTGGCTGAAATACGGCCAGTCCCTGCAGAACCAAACCAATTCCGATCAGCATGTAGTCAGCTTAAGCTCTAATACACTACTACTAATGGTTCGAACCTAAACAGCTGAAAGAAAAGACTCAGCTACGAATCAGAGCCTATTCTCTATATTGCATTATTGCAATCTGTATTACATGTATTGGTGTGATACAGTGCCATTTATTCTTAAAGGCATCCCAATGAACCTTGCTGATGGATGTATGCTGTGGATAACATTCATGAACAATTTTTGGTTTGTTGTGGTGCATTGGGCAGTCTATTAAGTTAGATAGGATGCACTAATACAATGCATGTTAATATGTGACACAAGAGTAAAAGCGCATACGCTTACCGCACTGGAGCGGACCATGGGCATCCCCTTATATTAGTGAGTTCCAACTAAAATACAGAGGTCCCTGTCTATACTGTATAACTAGTCTATACAAGTTTACTGGCAGGTTCCCTTTCATCATTAGTCGCAGTCCCCCTACCATTTTCCTCAGTATCGGTCTTTATGTTTCGGGCTGACGTCCTTCGGTCCGGATGGTCACGGTTGGCACAAACCTGCCTCAGCCCGAGGAACAGGAGAAGGATGGAAGGCACGATGAGCGAAGCCACAGCACTGACAGCTGCTGGTCGATTTGGGAGCTCCATAAGCATACTGAGGCCAATCACACACATCTTCCTATCATGTAGCCTGGAGGAGAATATGAAGACTGAATGGAGGTGTCAAATGTTAGACCTCAATAACACTGTGTTTAGCTTTTTCCCCAAAGTTACCTGGGAAGTATAAACAACTTTTATGCTTCCCAGATCCATTTTTCCTGTATTTCGATGTCCCTGCTTTAAAGCAGGTTTAGACTAAACAGACCATGAATGCAATTTGTTCTTGATTACATAGGTACATCTAAAAATTGAGTTTGAAAACTATTCTGAACGTCTAGTGTACAAATGTACATTGAAGATCATAAGATGTTTGCATTCAAATCCGTTTAAAAATGTTCATTTTGCAGACTTAAAAGGTCTGTTTTTTTTTAAGTTAGTGTGCATGAGGCCTTAGCAGTACTATAAAAGATGCATAACTGTTTTCCTAGGAGGCAGCATTCTCCTTTGAGTCCCTGGTGCCCAGCAGCCAGTATTCATTATTTTTCTTGCCTAGGTGCTTACTTAGGGACAGTCAGGAAATATTCTGGTTTCTACTAGCTAAAGGATTTGGCTTATTTCTTTTACACTTTCTGTTCTGTCCACTCTTATTTCTCTGTTTGTGAACTTTTTTCTGACCTCTTATAATCTAGGCTGCGGAGAAAAATATTAATGGTGGGGCAAGTCATTTCTCTAGGAGTTGTAGCTGGCTCTGACTTGTAAAGGGACTGTAATAGCAGTAATCTCTAGCAGTTTCTGACCTTGCCTGCAGCACATTTGCAGTCCCTGACTATCTTACTAAAGTATATCCAGTTTGTGACCATTTTGTGTAGCATTACATACACTGAACATTATGTGTGCTTCTTTGGTGATTTCAGGGGCATCACTTGAGTCCCTCTATGTCAAATAAGTTGACCTGCTTTAAACAATCGATCCCATTTACACAAATATGTCAGTGTTTGATAAACACTGGGGAATCCTGTGGTCTGAACATCTGCTGCAGCCATCACTAGGGGGTCCCTTTCTGCCTGTTGTAACATGTATGTATTTTGCTTAATGCAGAATCGAACAGGAGGGGCATAAGGTGGAAGCAGACACCCAAAACATCCGGGTAGGTAGCTGAGAAACTATGGCAGGTAGATTCCACTGTTGGAGTCTTCAAGAGATATAAAGCCAATGCGTGGCTTGGCTAGTTGAACTGCACTTATAAGAAAAAAACTTTTTTTTGGCCAGACTGACCCTTTAATTCTTCAAATACATTTTAGGAAACCTCACCCGCTTTTTAAAATTCTACTGGTTGCTTTGGTTTTTTCGTGCACATAAGGAAACCACTGTGTGCACACAACAATCTGGCATCTAGAATAGATGAAGCAATGCATGCTAGGAAATCAGAATATGGTTTGATATTTTAGGCTCTGACTATACAGTGAGGAACAGAAGTATTTGAACACCCTGCGATTTTGCAAGTTCTCCCACTTAGAAATCATGGCGGGGTCTGAAATTCACATTGTAGGTGCATTCCCACTCTGAGAGACAGAATTAAAAAACAATTTCAGGAAATCACATTGTATGATTTTTAAAGAATGTATTTGTCTTGCACTGCTGAACATAAGTATTTGAACACCTGAGAAAATCAGTGTTAACATTTGGTACAGAAGCCTTTGTTTGCAATTACAGAGGTCAAACGTTTCCTGTAGTTCTTGACCAGGTTTGCACACACTGCAACAGGGATTTTGGCCCACTCCTCTACACAGATCTCCTCTAGATCTGTCAGGTGTTGGGGCTGTCGCTAAGCAACACGGAGTTTCAGCTCCCTCCAAAGATGTTCTATTGAATTTAGGTCTGGAGACTGGCTAGGCCACTCCAGAACCTTGATATGCTCCTTACGGAGCCACTCCTTGGTTATCCTGGCTGTGTGCTTCATTGTCATGTTGGAAGACCCAGCCACGACCCATCTTCAATGCTATGACTGAGGGAAGGAGGTTGTTGCTCAAAATCTCACAATAAATGGCCCCATTCATCCTCTCCTTAATACAGTGCAGTCATCCTGTCCCCTTCGCAGAAAAGCACCCCCAAAGCATGATGTTACCATCCCCATGCTTCACAGTAGGTATGGTGTTCTTGGGATGATGCAACTCATCCTTCTTTTTCCTCCAAACACGACGAGTGAAGTTTAGACCAAAAAGTTCTACTTTGGTCTCAGCTTACCACATGACTTTCTCCCATGCCTCCTCTGGATCATCCAGATGGTCATTGGCAAACTTCAGACGGGCCTGGACATGTGATGACTTGAGCAGGGGAACCTTCTGTGCAATGCATGATTTGAAACCATGATGGCGTAGTGTTCTACCGACAGTGACCTTTGAAACTGTGGTCCCAGCTGTCTTCATGTCATTGACCAGCTCCTCCCTTGCAGCTCTGAGCTGATTCCTCACCTTTCTTATCATCAGTGATACCCCACGAGGTGAGATCTTGCATGGAGCTCCAGTCCAAGGGAGACTGACAGTCGTCTTTAGCCTCTTCCATTTTCTAACAATTGCTCCAACAGTTGATCTATTTTCACCAAGCTGCTTGGCAATTGCCCCCTTGCCCTTTCCAGCCTTGTGGAGTTCCACAATTTTGTCTCTGGTGCCTTTTGACAGTTCTTTGGTCTTGCCCATGGTAGTAGTTGGCGTCTGACTGACTGTGGGGTGGACAGGTGTCTTTAAAGAGCTCAGACAGGTGCTACTAAGTTAGATTAATGAGTGGAGTAGAGGTGGACTTTTTAAAGGCACAGTAACAGGTCTTTGAGATCCTGAATTCTTGCTGTTTCTTAGGTGTTCCAATACATATGTTCAGCAGTGCAAGACAAATAAATTCTTTAAAAATCATACAATGTGATTTCCTTAATTTTTTTTTTAATTCTGTCTCTCAGAGTGGAAATGCACATACAATTTGAATTTCAGACCCCTCCAAGATTTCTAAGTCGGAGAACTTGCAAAATCGCAGGGTGTTCAAATACTTCTGTTCCTCACTGTATAATAAAAAATTTTTTTTTAGAAAATTGCAGATACAGAATCACATAATCGCATAAAGAATTCAACGATAAAAGTGGCGATTCCAAACATTCATATGTTGGAGAAATGGGGTTTGAAGTTTAGCAGCAAAATAAGAACATAATTTGGCAAATTTGACAAAGATTAAAAATGTTATACTTGAACTGCACAGTGGATACTGAAGAAATACATTACTTGCCCCAGGAAGCAGTCCGTGTCGTTCACCCATTGGTTGATGAACTGTGCTGTGATTGGCTCTGAACTGTGCGGAAACCGGATCTGTTCCAGGGTGTTGAGGAGCAGAGCGGAGTTATAATACAGAGCTGCAATGACAACCTGCAAGCACATGGTGCGCAGCTCGCTGGATTTCACACCTCGCGTCAACCGTTCGAGGACAGCTTCAACAAAAAGCGGGATGCACTGAGGAAACACAGTGACAGTTCTCAGAGAAAAAACAGGAATGTACATAGGATTTTTGTACTCACTGCAAAATTCTTTTCAAGGGGATTGGACACTAGCAAACAAAAAAAACTGTAGGCTAGCCCAGGATAACCTCTCCTACTACCAACATGCCTCAGCTTAGTAGCAAAGCAATACCCAGAGAATGATCATAAAACACAGGAGGGTGGGACCTGAGCCTCCCAATGGAATCCAAGAATAGGGTTTTTATGATGAGTACAAAAACCCTATATTCTTTCTAGTTCATGGAAAGATACGGGAATATTTCACCTTTAGGATATCCAAAAAGCAAACAAAAACCAAGTCAGTATTAGCTGAGGTTTTAATGTTCACCTGGAAGAACATACAGAATGTGTGAACAGAAAACCAGGTGGCAGCCTTGAAAATCCAAGAAACAGTAGCTTGATGCTGAAAAGTCAAAGAAGCACTCCCAGATATAGTACTGTAGGCCTTGACAGGAAAGGGTAAAACCCAATTCTTAATACCTAAAGCTAGGATTATGGTCTACCTGAGTCACCAAGAAATGAGAATGAGAAGCCACATGCACCTTTCTGAGATCCTTCCAGAAACAGAAAAAGAATCAATCTTCTTGAAAGAAGCAATGGCAGAAAGACAGATTGACAGCCCAAATCACATCCACACAATGGATGGAACTTTTTTTTAGTGAAAAGGAGCAAGACAGTGGTATGTAAGAATGATATTCTGTTTTTGGTGAAAGGCAAAAACTGCTTTAGGTGAGATGGATGTCCTGGTTTTGTGTAGGTATACTTGCAGGTTACAGCAGTTCGTTCAGATACTCACCTTGCAGAGGTGCTGGCAACAACGAATGCCACCTTATAAGAGTAGAGAGGAGAAAGGTCTCAAAGAGGTTATAAAGATGGTTTCTGAAGCCACAGGGGTTTTAGAATCACATGGGAAAGAATAGGGAGAGCTACACAAGAGATTTCCTTTACACAAAGTACTCAAAGAGTGAGAATCCACCAATTTAAAACAGAAGAGAAAAGGACAGAAACCTGACCTTTGACAGTCCAGAGAGCCAAACCCTAGTTTAGAACCAGCTGCAGGAAGGAGAGAATGCTTTTCACAGAGAAACCCCTAAGGTGGAAACCCCAAGACCCATACTAAGTGAAGTATGCCTTCCATGTCCAATGATAAACCTTGGGGGTATGTAGATTTCCTAGCTTGTAGCATTGAAGGGATCATACATTCAGAAATGCCTCTACCCCTTAAAAGCTGGGCTTCAACAGGTCAAGCCATTATAGCCAGCGATCATGAAACAGGATGGTAAATCAGTCACTCAGACAGAAGATCACGACAATTTGGCAGGCCCACAGAGCATTCACCAGGAACCTCACCAGGTATGCGTACCACATCCATCAGGACCTGTCCAAAGTAACGAGGATAACCAGAACAATCCTGCAAAGCAGACGAGGAAGAAATTTCAAGGGAGGCACAGATCAAGGTTTACCAATCTCATGGATCCGCCAGAGCATCCACTGACTCCACTAGAGGATCATTGAACCTACAGACAAACCAGTATAGTTTTTTGTTTAATATGGAAGCCAGAGGGTCCACATGTCCTCCATTGAGACACAGGTCCAGGAACACCTGTGGGTAGAGGGACCACTGCCCCAAAGCCAGGCACACCCAGAGGAGAAGATCTGCCTGCCAACTATCCAAGCCTAAATGCACATGGCGGACAAGGCTGAAACAGGAATTTCTAGCCAAGGCAGCATGCGGTCTACCTCTCTTGTCACTGAGATTTTCTCTCTGATGGTTATCATATACCACTGTCGTGGTATTGTCTAACTGAAACTGGATCAGATGATACTCAAGCAGGATGGTACGAGGCTGCAGAGATAGGCACACTGAAGTTTCAGTATACCGATTGGGAAACAAGATTCCAACAGCTAAATGCACCAACGGTTCTCAGGACTCCTCCCCTGCCCCACAGGCTGGCATCTGTCACAAGGCTCTTCCAAAAGGACAGGAAAGAAGGACTGGCCAAACAAAAGAGTTGGATTGCTGAGCCACCATGCCAGGTTCTCAGTGCCAAATGAATGGAATCACTCTGTTCAGGAACTGGACTGACTCAATAAACAATGATAAAAGGTTGCATTGTAGAGATCTTGAGTGAAAAAAAGCAAAAGGGACTGCCTTCAAGGAGGCTACCATCAGACCAAAGACTCTCATGCAAAAGCAGATAGACAAATGACTCCTAGACTGAAAAGCTCTAATCTAAAACGCAGACGTATCTCCTGTGGAAGAAACATTCTGGTCAATGCCACATCCACAACTAGATCCAGGTACTCAGAACAATAAGTCGATTCTAGTGCCGATTTCTAATAGTTCCATCCAAGCCACTATAAACATCTGGATAGTCAAAGCTATGTTGTCTGACAGAGCCTGTGCTGACTGTTCCTTTAACAGAAGGTCATCTAAGTATCCCACAATGGGGATGCTTTGAGATTACAACACAGCTAATACTGGAGCCAGCACCTTGGCGAAAGCCCAAGCTACAGACCAGAGCCTGAAGGGTAGCGTAGAGTTCCCACAGCAAGGCATAGGAAATGCTGACGTGCTGGAACAACGGAACAATGTAGGTATGCATCCTTTCAGATACTCTGGGTTTGGGAATGGTGAACAGGTTGAAGCAAGTTTTGGCAAGGTAAGATAACAAAATACGGTAAGGAGCAGGGCCTGCTTGAGATCAAAGCTCTAGAGAGAGCTCCCAATTATTTATCAGTTGGGCCCATAAAGACAGGTACATCCTCCGCAAGTTTGGCCTTTGTTAGGAAAGGACACTGCTGGATCTGCTTGGCAGACCACTTTTTTACAAAGTCCTCATCAAATGAGTACAAGGTTAACAAGCGAGTAGCAGCAGCAAACATCTTGACACAGTGTTTCCCAATCAGTAAAGGGAGACTTGGAACAGTAGATCCACTGGGAAGTCTTTACTGTCTTAAGGGCTCTAAAGGACCCAAGGTTAGGTTAGAAACAACTGGCTGTTCCTCCAGTTTCAAAGTGGTGCATACTGCATTAAAAGCTGAAACAGTCTTTCTTTTTTTTTTTTTTTTTTTTTTTTTTTTTTTTAGAATAATGGCAGAGGACTCGAAATAGGCAAACTCGTCAGGTAAAGACTGGAACAACTTAGAATCACACAGAGTCTCATCAGTAGGTCAGATAAAGAATCTGCAGGAGAAAGAGTGGCAGCATGGGGCCTCTGCGATCAAAATCGGCCAAACACTGGGTGATTTGAGCCACAACTGTAACAAAAACCTCAGCTGAGGGGACACAGGAGTGAACCATGTCCGACAGAGTTAAGGAAATAGACTCTAGGAGCAGAGGGTTACAGGATTCCAGACTGCTTATGTCAGCCACTTCAAGCAGCTGCAAGCAGCCCCAGGGCTGTTTGGTTTAAAAAAGTGTGAGCTGGGGGCCACCTTTTACAGCAGAACTGTTCTGCACAGCCCAACCGGCCAACTCACACAGCAAGTCTTCAGAGACAGAGCAATCGCTGAGGCAATACTAAGTACTCTGGACCTGGAAAGCACTCTGTGGCTACCTTTTTACCGGAAGAAGCTCTGGAAAAAACAAAAGCAGAACACAGCGTCTGAAAGTCACTTCCAGGCTATTCACAGTGTCCAGTCCAGACATTGCACTCCAAGGCCAGGATGAGGTCAGCTGCGTCGGATAGCTGCACACAGAGAGACCAGCTCTAGCAAGAGTATAAAGAAGAATGCTGGCGAAGAAGAGTCTTGAAGAGAAAAAAGGTGCTAGCAAAAAATAGGTTTGTTTTTTACACAGCAGACATGAAGAATAGTTTTATTGTTTGCCAGTGTTAATCTTCCTGTAGGCAGCAGTATAACTGAAAGATGAGTATCTGTGTCCCACAACTGACAAAAATGCAATTAATGAAAAGTATGGACTTGGGATAAAAACTAAAAATTCATACTCATCTTCATGCTTCAGAATCTGTCTGATGCTGCACCTGTCCCCTTCCAGCTCTAAGCCCAAGAACTGAGTGATCACATGACTGCTGATCATACAGTTCTTGGCTTGATTTAACGGAAGAGTTGTGACCGTCAGTCACTGCTCTCCAGAGTTCACAGGAGTGCAGGGCTGGAGAGAGAGAGCAGTTACAGCTGGCTTTGGTTCTGAGTCATGTGTTGAGAGCCACAGCCAGCTGCCAATGAGACAGCTAGATGGATCCCAACAATATGGTCTGAATCCTTCCAGGGCCTGGAGCGGATCTGTGACATTAGCTGACAGTGGACTTTAGCCTGCTATTGGTGGATTCTGGGTCACAAGACAGCAAAAGTAATTACACTCCTGTGACCCACAAGGGAAATATGGCCACAAAAGCTTTGGCCATACTTTTCTTCTACTATTGTAAGTTAAATTGAGGGGAGGAATCTTTCAATGAGTTGCAGCACCATCTTGTGGTCAGTCTGATGCAACCACATATTAGGTCAAATTGAAGTAAGATCCTCTACACTACAGCTCATTTTTTCCAAGATTTCCATACGAGTCTTTTTTAGCATGTGCTTCACAGAACCACATTACCTCTACAATCATTGAATAAACAGGAAAAAAACACAATCAAATCTGGAAAGCTCAAAGTGTCTGGGCAAAAAAAAAAAAGTTCATACATCTCTAAAATACATGCACATTTCCCCATAATTGTCTTTAAATGCTGCAAATACCGAAAAATACCTGTTGATAAGAAATTCAGTAAGCTCCCAACTTCCTATGTCAGCAGACAACGCTGCTTCTGCTGCACTGAAATCCCAAGCAGGGTTGGTAGCCATTCCACCACTAGACTACAAAACATTTCCCTCCCCCTTATAGTATTGGGATGAGGAGAGGGGAAGGTTTCCTGTAGTCAAAATCAGGAAAGCAACCCAGGAAAGAAACCCAAGCAATCTATTAAAGGTAAAAAACATTTTTAGGTTTAGTATCACTTAAATCAAAATATGATGTTTGTGAGGAGATTAAAAAAGAAGCACTATACCTAAAAATGGCCACATAAAATAAGCTCATTATCAATATAAAAAAGCTATGATTTGTGACCACTCTAGTAGTGTACCCAGAATGAAGAAAGCAAAAAAAAAAAGAAAGAAAGACTGAATAAGAGAGAGAGCAAGACAGACAAATAATCAGTTGTGTATATTGGATTCATTCCTATTTTCAGCTTACCTGGTCTATCCCTCGACCCTTACACTGAAGAATAATGACCTCTAGGAGTTTGGCTGCATGACACTCCGCATCTTCTCCCGCTTCTCCTGTCAGCACCTGTCCAATGAGAGAATGGGGTTGTTGTTCAAAAACCACTGCAGATTCTTAGGGTTCATTGCTTTAGTCAAACCTATTAGGCCATTATACTTGCTGTTGGGGGAAGAGGCAAAAAAATTGGTGGTTGGGATGTGGTGTTCCTGCCCACCATAAAAAAAAAAACCAGCGACCAGATGAATCTTCTTTTATTACAACGTAATCATTCTGTTTGCTGAATCAAAGTAAGGTGATGGTTATGTTAAACAAATTTTATTTATATTCTTGGCTGCAAGAAAAAATGTTATGTATATACGCATGCACACTAATGTGCTTTTAGCATCTCACCTTCTTACACATGGTGTAAATAATCTCCAGGTGTTTAGGGTTAGTCAGCAGTGTGCCTGTATCCACCGTGATATAATTATGAAGAAGTGGCATCATATCTGTGCATACAAAGAAGGGGGGGGGGGGGAGAAAGAATAATGAATACATGAGGATCTATCATATGGATCTATAGTCAGAAAGCAAAAAAATAAAGCTCATCTTACTGCATAGCATTTACATTCCTATGGAGCAATCTGTAAAAGCACCGGAAGCCCAGGTGATGATTGTTTCAGTTCCTGGGCTTAGTGCTGGACAGCAGCTGTCACTAAGCCTGCGGTTCCAGCACTACTGCCAACAGGGTCAAAAAGCCACTGTCTGTTTTAAATAATACTGTTGATGCAAGGCTGCTATTTTTACATAATCTTTAGCAAAAACGCATATGAGTTTACAGAATGTGTGACTCAAAAACCGCAGCAAAAAAAGCAACACGGGTGCATGCTTGATGCATTTTTGCTGCGTTTCCATTCATTCTATTAAAAACTGTAGCAAGCAGGATTTTAAAAAATGTAGCAAACCTGAAACAGATCGGTGTGAAGAGTTCCATATGATTACACACTCACACATTGTTCTTCCGCTTTTTTTTTTTTCTTAACACGAAAGCAGAACAAAATATATTCAGTGTGAAAACAGCCTAAATGTAACATTTTGGAAATTTGGATGTGCAGACTCAAAAAGTTACTGACAACCCCACTTAAAGGTTGCAGGGAACACTGGCTGACAGATGAAAGGAAGTAACTATTCCTGCTACAGAACACATCAAACATGTTTATGTAATAACAAACCTGTAAAATATTCATAGCAGTCTCTCTGAAAAACTTCAAAAAGGATCTCTAGAAGTTGCCACATCTGTGGGGAGATGGTCTGGTTGGTGAGGCTGTATGCTAGTGCTAGAATCTCCTCATAGAACTCTGTAGGGACAGCAGAAATGAAATCCCATAGATAAAATACTGTGCACTACTCACTAAAGCTTACTGTAAAGTCTGTCCAGGAATTGATCATTGCCTTCATTTGTTATAAACTTCACTTTTTACACAGGCTTAAAACCAAACTTATAACATTATGTTTTTTGGAACTTATGAGGTCTTAGAATAGAATTAGGTTATGTGACCACCCTAGGTATAAATATTACTACGTGGCCTCCTCCTTTAAATCTTTTTAGTGGCTCATACCTATAATATGTTTCTGGAGCACAAGACCAACAATCTGCAAACAGATCCCCTCCAGCTGCTGCTTCACCTGGAAAAAAGGTAAAGAATTATAAAGGGCAAGGGAAAGTGGGGGATATCCACTAAGCTACATGTCCTGGTACACACCTCTTTATGATTCTCCACAACAGTCAGGACAATGTCGATGGTGTGAAGGATTCCCATCGCCATGACGGTTTTGTCCTCCACCTCCTCATACTCTTCACTCTGCAGGACCTTTACAAATATCTCAGCCTGGAGAAAGAACACAAAGAGCAGTGACATGGTACAATCCTGTATATCGCTTGTACATATAGACAAACACCAGACCACCCTGTATATCTCCTGTACATGTACAGAACTTCATACATCATCCTGTACATACATAGAGTACTGGGCCATCACAATCCTGTATATTTTCCTGTACATACAGATCAGACCACTGGAACATCTCCACCCTGGACATTTTTTGCACATGTACAGAGCAATGAGCAACCACCATCCTTTAAATCTCCTGTACATACAAATAAGGGCACCGGACTGTCTCCATCCTGTATATCCTAGTTACAGACCAGAGTACTGGATCATTACCATCATGGATATCTCCTGTATATATAGATCACGGCACCAGGCCATCACCATTCTATATCTCTCTTGTACACACATACTGTAGAGCAGCTGACCATCACCACCCTATATATGTCCTATACATACATACATACACACACACAGCACCGAATCATTGCTATCCTGTATATCTCCTGTACATATACATCACAGCACCAAACTATTGCCATTCATCATATCTTCAAACACCACTCACTAGATGCCTTGTCATATCCACAGCAATGGGGGCCACTTCCTGACTGTACTCGCATATCATCTTCTGGATGACGTTGGTCAGATCATCATTCTCGGTCTCCCGAACTATGTGCAGCAGCTCCTGCATAACTGGTCGGATGTACGGCCTCATGTACTCTTTTGCTGAGGGTTAAAAATGCTGGAATTGTTATAAAATACAAAACTACAATCTTAAAGTGTACAACAGCAGTGTAGTTTAAATCTATTGACAATTTTGTCTAAGTTACCAAACCTCCTACACCAGATACTCAGAATAATTTGTGGTTATATCCCATCCATGCTGGAAAAGGCAACTTGTTAACCTAATTGCTGCCCTACTGCCAATCTTCATGCTACAGCTTTCCAGGGGTCTAGGAACTCTCAACAAATCTCAACACAGAGGCCTGATGGGTGTTTGTTCACTTGCTCTAAAATGTTGTGGCTGGATTTTAAAGGCCCCCCAAGGTCATCGGTCCCATTCTATTCTCTATCTGCATCTTCTCCCTTAATTCAAATTTCAATCTGTTCAGCAGGTACTGCACAAATTTCGATCCATGTATGGACAGGATAGTTGTACAGAAGTCGATCTACTGATCACCTTCTGTATAACCACCCTGTTGTTTTTCTGCCACTAACGCCGGCAACACTGATCCATATATTCAGATGGCAGGGAAATCTCCGTGCTGTCAGAAAACAATAGTTTAGCAGGAAGATTTCCCCTATCCACATCTACGCTTGAAAAAGAAAAGAAAAAAAAGAAAAGACTCATCTATGGGCTGCTTAAGTCAGTCAATATCCTCTCAAGGCTACCAATACGATCTCTATGATGCCAACACCAAAATCTATCTACTCCTCAGCTCATTTCTTCAGTCTACTTGTGCATCACTTATTTATTGATAATTCAGTATGGATGTCACACCACTTCCTAAAACAAGACCTTCCAAAACTGAGCCCATAAAAGTCACCGACTTTCCCATCAAAATCAATAACATAACCATCAGTCCCTCCCTTCATGCCAGGGTGCTAGGTGTAATCCTGAATTTTGATCTCTCCTTTTAGTGCCACATCCAATCGCTGTCCTAATCTTGCTGTCTTCACCTCTGTCAGCCCCTTAACTAACGACACAATCATCACTTCCTTGTCATCTCTTGCCTCAACTGCTAACTCATGCTTGTTGGCCTTCCTCTACACAGACTATGCCACTTTCTGCTTATCATGAATTCTACTGCCAGACTTATCCACCTTACCAACCGCTTAGTGTCTGCCACCCGTCTCTGCAAATCACTCCACTGGCTTTCGCTCACCCAACAAATAGAATTCAAAAAATGTTAACATACAAAGCCAATAACAATTGTCCTGAGTTACATCACCAACCTCATCTCAAAATAGCACCTAATTCGTCAACTTTGCTCCTCCCAAGATCTCTTGCTTTTTGGCTCCCTCATCGCCTCCAGGGTTTCTCCAGAGCCACTCTCATCCTCTGGAACCTACCTGAAGATCTGTTCAGCTATCTCCTACTCCCCGAAATCTCTTTAAGGAAGCCTATCCTGCCTCTTCTCAACAACTGAAACTACTTTCTCCACTAACTACTGTAATCTTCACAAAGTTATTACCTTTTGAATAAACCCTTCCCTTCTAGATTGCAAACTCTTATGAGCAGGGCCCTAAAAACACTTGTCTTTATTTGTATAGTAACTGCACTGTCCCTCTTTATATTGTAGAGAACTCCACAAACCGTTGTTGCAATATAAATCCTGCATTATATAGTATAAAAATATTACGATTTAGGGTATTGGTGTTCTATTTCAATATTGTGATTAATAAAGGGACAACTTAATATAGTACAGTACTGTAGCATTTTTGGATGAGTTACATATACCAAATATATTGAAAATTCTCTCACCAGCCCCCTGGTAACTGATTAACATCTGCAGAGCAATGGCAGCCTCCACCTTCACTGGCAGTTCCTTATCTTCCAGCAGACTTTTCTTTGCCAACTCTACGGCATTTCGAAGGTTCAGCTCATTGTGAAACTTCAGTGTGCTGAATGAGTGAAGAACCCAACATGACTAGAAGAGAAACAAGATGGAGTATGACATAACGGACAAAACTGAATTATGACAGATTAGTTTGCTAAAAATATTCTTTATGAAAAGGGGTTTTTTTTTTTCTTAAAGTAAAATTCCAGGTTAACTGACAGGCAGATAGTCTCACAATTACCACTTCAGCCAATCAGAGAAAGCCTTGTATTCACAAAAATATAAGGCTTCTTTTGAATAGCAGAGAAGCATTTAGGTTGACTCAACTTAATTCTGGCAGCAAAGGGGAAGTTGCTTCTACAAATGGCAGGATATATACTGGAATTTTTTATACTGACATCCCAAGTGACACCAATACAGTGATCAGTGCTAATAAAAAGCACTGATACTGTAGTAATGGCACTGGGGTGATCAAAGGGTTAATTGTGTGCGGTTTTACTGTTACACACTAACTGTGTGTGTGTGTTTCACTGTAAGCACACTGCTTTGTATGGCTCTGCTATGCAGAGCCATACAAAGCAGTGTGCAGGAGCTGACAGGTTAAAGATCTGTGCTGTTTACATATAGGTCTCTCTCCCGTCGGAAATGCTCGGAGATCGCCGGGTCCCGGTGGGGAATCACTGACTGGGAGCTGGTGATTGGCAGCCGATGCCGTGAATGGTGGCGCAGGTAGGGCGCGTGCGTGCCCCCTACCCGGAACTGCAAAATCATGCATATATATGTGATTTACGCACCCATGCTGCCCTGTAGCAGTATTTCTGTTATAGGGCGGCGCGGAAGTGGTTAATGTGCAGCATCCCTTATTTCACATTTTGAATATAATATTCCACTAATTGACTTTACACTATAAAAGTTTCCTAAAATTGACAACTGTGGAATAGGTCTGTGTAAATTGTACTTTTAAACTCCTGAGGATCATGCATGACAATACAGGAATACAACTGGTAAATAGGGAAAGAGTGTTGTCACTGCCAGGAAGAGTCTTAACAAGTACCTTTGTGGCAGGATATTTATGAAAGATGCAGATTTAAAAAAAAATTCAAAACTGAAAGACCTACTCGTGCTCGGAGGTAGCCCAGCTCAGACATGAACAGTGGGAAAACATGATTCTGGATGAAGACTTCCATCTGATCCTTGTACACAGATTTCTGGAGGAAAATATAAAGTAATACACAACAGAAATGTCACATGTATACTGTGACCATAGCAGTAGTAGGCAAACCTGTTACCTTTAATAAAATCTCTGCAAGTGAGCCCAGCACATGAAGCGCCCCATCTATTTTCCGCGGGTCAACCGAGGAACTGGTGAGGATCTGGTAACAAAAATTCATCATCTTTGGCAACACCTAAAATAAAGAGGATTTTTAGAAAAATATACGCAAAATAAATTTTAGCACACACAAAACGCAATAGCCCCTTTTTTCGGTAAAATGAAAAAGATGGGGTTTGGTAAATATACCAAACATGTCAAGACTCAAAACTGCGTGCACCAGCCAAATGGTAAAAACTACACTATCCAACATTTTTCATAGGTGACGCTTTAAAAGTCTTTACAGGTTATCAGTTTACAATTAACCATGAATTATGACCCTAGGCCCTCATGTGTGGCACAATCACTGTGGGTACTATGTGCGTGTTTGCACTGTAGCGTATCCATGGAGGTGATTTTAATTTTTTTTTTTTTTTTTTTTTAATTGCAGCCATAATCTTGTTTTAACCACTTGAAATCCAAGATGGCAAGTGGTTAAAAACAAAGTTTTTCCATTGTTCCTGACTCACCTCTTTCCTCTTCTTGGAGGCAGTAAAGAGCAGGTTTTGAGCAGCAGTGGAAGGAGATACATAATCTTCAAACACATCTAGAATCAGAAACACAACAGGTCATGGATAAGGACAACAAGCAAGAAGCAGTACTGGGTGTGACGTACCCAGTGTACAAAAAAACAACTGCCGGGTGTGGGAAGGTCTGACACTGAATGAATTGACAGCCTTGGTTGATCTACAGAACAAAATGGAGGATCTGCCATACTGGATATGGCATTGAAAATGCCACAAAACTAAATACATGCATGGAGAATAGTGCACAAAAAATCGAACTGCATATACATCTAGTATTGGTTAGTCACCTTCAACTGCACCTGTTCTGTAATGTTGAAGATGTTTCATAGTTTATCCAAGCCACTTCTTCAGTTCTAATGAGTGGTAAGAACATACCCCAGCATTTAAATCCACACAGGTAGCACAGACACCTTAATCCAGTCATCAAGGCATGTGTCAAGGTAGATGATGTTTGTCCAAGAACAGGATGAGAGGTGAGAAAGTTGTGGAACCACCTGGTTCTAGTTATATTATCTCATCCTTGGTGGCAGTAAATTTGCACAGGTGGTAATCCTTCAATTTACATGGCTGAAAGTGCAACTGGGGCAGAGATGTGGGAAGACACATGATGGCGAAGGTGATGATTCCAGTCTGAAATTTAACTGTTCTGGTTTTAAAAAGTCACACCTTCAGACATGTGAATTGAAGTTTTAACAGCAATGCAGGCTTTGCGACACCAGTGACGGGTCAGTGGCGTCCAGGATTGGACATCTGTCCCTAACCGCAGCTATCCATTCTACGTACAGCTACATGCAAACAGTAGCGGGCGCTGTCAGCCCACTGTTAATTTAAAAGTGTAGAACGGCCACTGGTCCTCACACAACCCTGTCATTGCAGGAATCCACCAGTCCTTGCCGCAGGAATCCAGCAGCTGCTGCTGCCCGGCCATGTGAAGAAGGCCTTATAGACCAGGGCTCGACAAATCCCAGGCACCAGGTCGCCATGGCAAACAGAAATCACAACCTGGTGCCTGGGCGCTGGTCAGCCCACTAACCATCAGCAACTACCGTATGCCCCAGACAAACAGCTCGGGGCACAGGGGAACCGATCCTTCTCCTCCCCCCTGCTGGTCTCTATAGTTTCCCTGGAAGTAGGCAGTAGGCTGGGCTGGAGTCTGATGTCTGGCTGTAAAGCCCGATCTGAGTGATATAGTCATGGGTGGCCGGGCTCTTCTCAGGCAGCCACTATCCCCTCCCCCAATGCCCAAGCAGGGTTCAAGGATGAATGGCTTCTCTCTGGGGTAAACCTGTTGGCTCTTCTGCTGCCCACCGTGCCCAAACCACATCGATGCCAAGCTGGCCTTCCTCCCCCTGGAGCTCACCTGGTGCGCACACGGTGCAGGAGGTGAAGGAGCCGTGGGCCTGTGTGCCGTCCCATGTGACCTCCACCTGACAGAGCGGGCGGACTGACAGTACTCCCTGCAGGAGCTTGACGCGGTGGAGGTGTTCTGGCAGAGAACATAGCGGAGGAGCTTCCTCAGCTGTATGTTCACCTGCTATGCCCCGGGGAGCGGTGGATCTGGGACAGATGTGCTCCTTTGTCTGCCTGGGCTCCCACCTCAACTGCAACATCTCCAGGTGTGTATATATATATATATATATATATATATATATATATATATATATATATATATATATATATATATATTATTATACAGTATTTATAAAGCGCCAATGGTTCGCTCAGCGCTGTACATTACTAAGGGGGACAGAACATGTGACAGAACAATACCAATACAATGCAAAACATGAGGGGATCGAGGGCCCTGCTCTTTCGAGCTTACAATCTAGGAGGGAGGGATATATATATATATATATATATATATATATATATATACACACACACACACACATACATACACACACACATATACACACACACACATACATATACACATAATACACATGGGGAGGACCAGACCTGGGGTGTATACAGGGGGGAAGACCAGACCTTGGGGAGGGGGGAGGACAGGACAAGTGTGTATACAATGGGGGGGGGGGGGGGCAGAGTGCATATAGAAAGGAGGGCGGACCAGACCAGTGTGTATACAGAGGAGGGGAGAGATGTATAGAGGGGGGAATCAGGGTATATGGGGGAGAGGGGGGAGGCAGGGCTTGAAAATCCCAGGTTGCCATGGCAACAAGAAACTACATCCTGACACTTGAGCTTCCACCAGCCCACTCACTGCCAGCACCAGGCACTAGCAACTCCCATTGCCCATAGCACCAGACATGCAGCTCCAGGCGCTGGGCAGCCAATCCAACTCAAACATGCAAAAAGAAAAAACCTCCAGCTCTGCTGCTTATCCACAGCAGAGCCAAAGTTTCTCTATTCCTCTCTACACACTGGCACCCCCATGCACCCTCCATCCCCTCCCTCAGCGCTCCCCTCTCCCTCGACACCAGCCAATTCATGCATACTGTGGCCCACTCCTCGTCCACATGACGCTGGCGGTGAGCAGAACCCAGTCAACATACCATGCCCACACACACATCAAAAACCGTCCCACCCAGCAGCATGCCCGGCTCCAGTCCCCTCCATTAGAAAATTCAAGATCTGCCATCTCGGTCAATGAAAATATGAAAATAAAGCCGTTACTAAAAAAAAAAAAAAAAACTGTCACCTAACTTTTTTAGCTGGCTATTAGATTCAAAGCAAATTTGTCAAGCCCTGTTATAGACTATCTGCATATACAATAAAATAGAAAACCTGTGCTACATATATTATTCTTTGTGAACATAACATTAACAGTTTTGTTAGCTGTGTGAAAAGTAGAAGGAAAGACTAAGTAATAAACCAACATTTAAGCGTTCCCTTTCCTTGTCACCCCATGGCCCTGTATACAATTTATAACAAATCACAATGCAAATACCATTGTTAGCATTTTTTTTATGCGGTCACGTATCTGCAAAGCTACAATCTCTGCTACTTCTGATGCGGCTTATGAGAGGGAACTCTCTCTTCCTCCAACACCACCTAAAACAGTGGACACCATTACTGCCCTATGAAATTCACTCCTGTTGTCGGCCCTCCACATTACATAGAGGAGCCAGAGCTTTGTGGCCACATGACCACATAGAAAAGATAACAAAATGCTAAAACAGGCATTACATTGTGAATGGTTATAAAATATATGCAGGGACATGTGGAGAAAAAAGGGAGAAAATATTTAAAGTGGAACTTTACCCGTACCAACCTGATACAAAATTATGTTCTTTAGCAAGGAACATACACTCCACTTGCCTCCTGTTTCTTCTTGCTGGAGGCTGCCTTTTTGCTGAAGCCCAAAGCCCTGTCAGCAGATTGGCCATTACATTTTCAGTACAGTGCCAAAAATAGAGCAACTGGGCATGTGCAGAGCAGGATGAGACAGTGTATTTCTGGATTTTAAATAGTATAGTCACTTATTTGCAATGTTTTACATAGCTATACCTGTGAAAGGGGTCAGCCTAAAATGATCTAGCAGGACTTAATTTTCTGACTAAAGTTTCATTTAATTGCTGCTTTATTACTTAGCCTTCTCTTTTAATTCAAACAAGCAAAAAAAAATCTATTTACCAAACTTCATGCGAATGTACTCATATGGGTCATCCTGCCACAAATCCTCATCTTCATCTTTGTAGCACATCAAGGGGAAAATCACCTCTTCAGAAATACTCTAAGAAGCAAGAGGTAGGGTATAAAGTCTAAGTGAAAAATGTTTACAATCACTTACTTACACTATGTTTAAAAAGTGGAGACACTTTGACAGTTTTACCCTGCAAACTGGTTTGATCATTCATTCTTTTCCTTTGTGTCCAGCAAGGGTGGAAAAAATTTAGAAGCCAAAAAGCAGATCTGCTAAAAGAATAACTAGCTGCTAACTATCTTACAGGAGTCGTTTTTATGGCTCATTCCCATTATGGTGTGTTAACACAAGGACTTATTGCATTTATGTTATGCATTAACGTGTGTTGCATTAGGGCAGCTCATTCATTTTAAAGGGCTGTCAACATAACAGAATGCCTAAAAGAACAGGCAAGCACCATTTTGGTGACCTTGCACACAGTATTGCACCCTGTGTTGTGGACACATGTTGGTTGCCATTCAAAATGAATATAATGTGTATTGCTACAATGAAAAAGTGTGAATGTGGCCTTAGGGTTCTTTAGCTCCTTAGATGGAATCTGTCACGTCAGAGACTAAAAGTGTTGTAGTAAAGACTTGCTGAACACATGTCCCTTTCAGCTCACCTATGTTTGACAGTGTTCTCACCTGCATGTTTGGCTTCAGAACCTTCCAGGTGACGGCATGAGACACCCCCAGGTTCAGGTAGTTGAGAGTCTGCTGCAAAACCCGCGGGGCCACATACTGCTTTTGTCTGTGCTGCTCCAGGACTTTCAGCAGAACCTGAGAACAAACAACATATTGATGTGTGACAATTCCTCCCCAACAAAATAATTACCAAGCAAATGTTCTTTATGTTCATGATCTGCCTACATTGCGTATAGAATCTGAAACCCTGTTGACATCACTAGGACTAAAATAAGGTGTATAATGCAAAGGAAATGTTTTATTTTAAAATTTTCATTAGCTGGTTGATGAGGGGGAGGGGAAGAACCAGCAAAATAGAAGCAAGATAAACATCTGCTTCAATCAAATTTTTTAATCAACAAGTGTATTTAGCTCTGTATGTATGCAGCTAATGGTAAAAAAAAGTGTGCAGAATACAAAATCACCTGCAATATTCCCACAGCATATGTTTTCACAAAGAATTCTGAGAACTCAATATATTCCTTGGTGACACTTCCAGGACTTCCATACCTAAAGAATACAATGCCAATGTAAGTGGTAGAGAGAGAGATCATTTTCAGACAAGACACAAAGGAAAAAATAAGTTGTTTAGGATTGAATCAGACCTAATTTCTGATACTTATGTCACTTAAATGCACACTATGTATTGTATAAATGTAACATTTCCAGGTATTTATTACCTCTCACAGAGATTACAGTACTCTGTCTGACAATGCTTTCATCTGATTTTCTCTCCAGATGGAAAGCACCATCTTTTTTCAGGCATCATCCAGGGTCACCTTCTACTTCCTGGACTTTGATGCTGGCTTAGAAATGACACAATCATGTAAACCTTGATGCCTATGCAGTTCTTGGCTCTGTTCAAAAATGTCTGACACAGTTCAGCCTCAAAACTTGTGACTTGCTATAAAGTTACAATGTTGCAGTCTGATCACTAGTGGAGGGAAGTCACTCAGCCTACATACAATCACTGCCCTGGAACTCAAGACCAGATTTTTAAATCTAAAAACTTAGGTTATTATATGAAAACTTTACAGTTGCTGTATGCTATATATATATATATATATATATATATATATATATATATATATATATATATATATATATATATATATATATGTATATATATATATATATATATATATATATATATATGTATATATACTGCAGACTTGTAAGGTTAGCAAAAGGTTCACCACTGTAACGTTATATTGCAGAACAAAAAAAAGCCACCTCTACCTCTTACTAAACCGGCCAGTCTTACCGAGAACTTGCCAAACAAAACATATCGGAGCCATTATGGATTGCTCTCTTTTAAGCCTAGATTCATTTTGAATGAATCATTTTGAATCTGCATCAAAAAGGTGCGGGTATCTTTTTTTTTATTCGCTCTGGAAGCGGATCGCATGGGTGTTTATATCCATGCGATCCAATTCACGCAAATGCACTGCGTTTGTGACCTGCTTTTGGGGTGTTGCTAACTTTCCATTGACACCTGCAGCAGATCGCAGAACACAGTGCAATTGCTATGCAGTGTGGGAAATGCACAAGAATTATTGCATTTCCTGCAACACATCAGTGTGAACCGGGGCTGAAAGGTGCAAGTTTCAGAGTTGTCATATTCATTCTTATCAACCCACATAGTATATTGCTCCAACTAACAAATACACATCAAAGGGAACTCGTGATTTGAATAACTAATCCAATCACACTGTGTGCAGTGTGCAGGCTTGTTTACATGGTCGCCAATATCTGATCTCTGGCAACTCCAGCAAATCAGTAGGATTTAGGCTGGCCATGGACGGGCCGTTTATTGGCCGAATTGTCGGCCGATAAACGAAAAATCGGTCGTTGCTGCCATGGATGCTGCCACCAATGCTTACGAGAAATGGCCGGTTTTTGTAGATTTTCCAGCATGACTGATAAAAAGAAACGAGAAGATCCACGAAAAACGGCCGATGGCATTGCCCCACTAACTGTGCGAATATCGGCCGATTTTTCGGTCGGACAAAAATTCGGCCGATAAACGACCCGTCTATGGCCTGCCCTAGCAGGAGCAGAGTGGAAGACCTGTACTTTCAAAGTAAAACCTAGGTACTTGTATTTTTTTGCATAGCATACATGGTCCAGCTAAGGTAAGCAACTAGTTAAAAGAGGCAAGAGCTTCATAATATGCCGACTTTACCGTTCAAAGAGTCGGGTGATGGTGTGAAGGGCCCACTTCTTGCACTTCCACCAGACCAGCTCTGGACGGTCATCTTCATCCACCTGAAGCGTTTCCTAACAATGCGAGCACAAGATCAGCAAAGAAACATTTTTAAAATATCCCAGATTAAAATCAAGCAAGTTTTCCTTCTTTTTTTTTCTTAAATAAATAAATTGCAAGTTCTACATACCCTCTCGGCGCTTTCTCTGGCTCCCTTTGGGGACCCACCCAGAGTATTCCTCTTCAGGCAGAATACCATTTACATCATTCCGCCAGTTTCTTGTGAGCCCAGCCTGTTGTTTACCCCTCCACCTGCAGGGGCGCATCATCATGCAGGCTGGGCTCGCGGTACTCCAGGACTGAGTGGCACTCAAACAACGTTACGTAAGTTAAATATAAATGTGCTTGCGAGCTACTATGGTGTATAATTTTAGTGCATAAAAATTAATTCGATTTAATTAAAAAAGAATTAATAAATTTAAATCAATTGTGGTTCACTGACACTTTAACACATACTCATATAATTTTGTGAATAAATGATTAAAATAATTAATATGTGTCGCGCTCCACTAAATAAATTAAATTATTTATAAAGTGCAATATGTGCTTAATTTAATCATTCAACTTTGAAATTCAAGGCCGGGGCTGCACAAACTTCCATGCATTTGTGGAACTGTTTCCAGGATTCCTTCCACCTTTTGCACTCTTGTATTGAGTCCTGGAGCGCATGAAGTTTTGTTTCTGTAACTTTGAAATTCAGCCAGGAGGAGGAGTGACATCACAGACACAGAAATCTGATTTATACAACTAAAGGAGAAAATTGTGCTGGAAAGTGTTTTAATTCTCTAATGCTATGCGTGAACACTGACAGAATCCAAATCTTCAAGTATATGTGTTAAAGGATTTTGGGCATAAAATTGAATTACTGCATCTTGCAACTCATCATTCCTGGAAGTAAACTACCATTGGAAATTGCCTCATCTGTCCAATTGAGGACAAAAAGTTGTTTTAGCCTCATTTTTAGTTAGGCTAAAATTAAGGTGAGCGCATAAGAAAATGACATCCAGTTTTTTGAATATTTTCACGGAGTGGACACTAAAGTGGGTTTATGTTAATTATTGGACATTTTTTGAATAATATACATTTTTTTATATATACTTTATACATTTTTTTCATATTATAGATTTTTAAATATATCACAATCACTGGTTGATATTTATATCATTCACAGATTTTGTTTATTCCAATATATATTTTGTTAATGAACTATATAGTATATGGTTAAATTAAGCACATATTGCACTTTATAAATAATTTAATTTATTTAGTGGAGCGTGACACATATTAATTATTTTAAACATTACGGGAGTGCTGCTCAGTCAAGAAAGTAACCTTGCCCCCCACTGCTACCAGATGAGGAAGAGGAAGTACTGCTGATGTCTTCAGACTGGGTAGAAGAATACAGGAAAAGGTACATATTGTGTTTGGGAGAAAGAAGGATTAAATGCCAGGAATTTCCCTATAAATCTTAAAAGTGATGAGAAAGCTCTCCAACACACACATAAACTACAACACATTTGTAGTAGAGTGGAGAAGTGTTACAACTTTGAATACTGTCTCCATTGCTGTCTGTGTCTCCCTGTCCCAGTGACCACCATACCCCACTCATTCTTGTACAGGTATCACAGTGACAGGAAATGACAGAACATTTCCCCAATGGGTCACAGACCTGGAAATAAAAACTTGACAAATTATGTCTCTTTGCCACTTTACTCCAAGCTAAAAATATATTATTTTTGCTAGAGATGAACCCTAGAAAGGAATTGAAATGTGGAAACTGTGCCCAAAAAGGCAAGCACAGACAAAGAGCACATCATCAGTACTTTCTGTGGACTACCTGCAGACATCCCCAATACCAATTTACTATGCTTTGTTCTGCGTTTTATCTCTGTGTGGAGGCAGCCATCCTCGTAAATGTACGGATTTGATTTCTTATGTCAGAGCTGGCCCCTGATGATTGGTGGTCTGATGACTGGTGGGGGAATAATCAGGCAGCAACAGGGGGGTAGAGGAAACACAGATTCTAAGAAAGAAGCAGGAAAATCCTTCTCTGCAGGTCCTCAGGTACACCCTCTTCTCCAGCAAGCTGAACACTGAGCAGGACAGTAGTGATTCGAGATAAGCCTGGGTTCACACAGAAGCAGTGGGAAAAAACGCATGAAATTTGGACAGGAATCGCATTCCTGTTCAAATCGCATGCTATTCTTTGAGGTGCAATTTGCATTTTGAATTGACGCAAATTGCACCAGAAAGTATCGGTTTCCAGTATCGAGAGCATTTTCTTGCATGCAAGTACGGTCAGTATCAGTGCATCCCTAAATTTTTAATAATAGATTCCAGATTAAAAGATACATTTTTCAGGCTACTGCTTAAGCACACTTAACATTTTTGATTTTTCCCTATAACATATCAAGTCTTCACTTTTTAAGTTCAGTTCCACATTAAGCCTTTAAAGCTTTGGTAATGTATTTTTAATGTTTACACTCACAGGAGGAACATCCCGATCAGCAATACTGCTAAATATTCCCATCCATTGCGTCATGGTCTGATTGTTTACCAGCTGAAGCGGCAGAGTGTACTGCAGAAAGAAGGAAAAATAAAATCTCTGTAAAATGTGTACACACTGGCATAATAGGCAATGTTCACAAAGAATACTTTCCTGCAAATATGATATACTTTCCTATCCATTTATTGATGCTAGCAGCATAAGAATTACAAATAGTCCATGTTGATTGAAAGAGTGAAATTCCGCTTTACTTTTTTTTTTCCAGGCTTTTTTCCTTCATTATTTGCACTTGGTGAACCTGCCAGTAACACAATTCCTGTCCTAGGGTGACAACAATCACTCAATGCACTGTATCTATGGAGGAGCAACATCTTCACAATAGGCTGCTATTTCGATTTGAATTACAAACACCTTTTTCCTCCACACACATACTGTACAAAACATAGGGGGAGATGTTATTGAGTTAAAAAAAAGACAGCCAGCAAAGCTGATAGCATTTTTGAGATCTCAGTTCAGCACACAGGAAGTTACAAGTAGGCTGGAACTCTGACAGGATCAGCAGGTATTGTTCTGTACTTGCAGAAAATGTACATATGAAAAAAGAAAAACGACTGTAGCTACCACATCTAAGGACTGGTAAGCTGCAATATATTACATTTTCCTGGGTTTAGATAAAATTTAAAGCTCAAAGTGTTACTAAACCCAGAACTCTGCATTCACTCCATCTGGTGCAAAGAACATAGAAATTAAATTATTTTAGAAAATATAAACTGCTAAATACCTTTTTTCATCAGCAGTTAGAGTAGTCTTGTGACGTCTATCCGTGTTCAGCTGAGTACTGGTTAAAGCTTGTAGGAGGGGTTTTTATTCTTTTCTGACTGTGCTATGAGGCTGCAGGACCCCTGATCCTCTGTCTGGACAGTGCCAATTGGCCCTGTGCTGATCACATACACTCTCCCAAGAAAAAAAAAAAAAACTCTCCAGCAATACACACCAAACAGAGCATGTGCAGTTTGCCCCCAAGGCTGTGTACTATAAGCAGGTGGATTGGGGACAGTAGAGGAAGGGGAGGATCAGAGAAGACAGGATCAAACAGCCTTTTTACACAATGATTAACCCTTTAGGTTCCACAGTGAGTATAACAAGCACACTTTACTCCATATACAGGCTAGCTTTACTGTTGTGGGTTTAGCAACAATTTAAGTTTACTCGGTCAATACGTTGCTTTCCTTGGCTTTTCATTTACTCCCTTCACCAACAAGCTAATCACAGTAAAACTTGTTTTCATTACATCATCGCTGGGTCTTTATGCTTCTCTATGCAATGCAGGCAGATCACGGCTGGTGAGATGGACCAGCAGGGTGCTGTACGTTGCTTCTTGAAAACATCACAGCAGCCTACCTCAATTATCCTCCCAAGAGCCCCCTCAGCCTGACACAAGCAGTGGGCTGGAATTATGCAAATATCAAAATGCCTTGAGTGCATGTCAGTTTGGATGACTGGGAGTTCCTGTGCAGTCAGTATTAGCATGCAGACTTCTTTAGGTAATGTACATGTGTGATATTGAACCATGATGTTAAAAGAACAAAAATGAAATGAAAGCAGGGGGCCAAGGACAATCAGGCTGCACAAGAAAAAGCTGGATAGTGCTGGACAGTGCTGGACATCCTCTAACCAGGAAAGGAAGCAGGCTCTGACTTGCTGCAGCTTCTAATGCACACTAATGCATGGAAATGAAAGTAAGCAATTTCACTACAGGAGACTAGCCAGTACAACTGTGCACATCCTCCAATGCTCACCTGGATGAGGGCATAGAATATTTTCAGAATCTGCTTCTGCATCAACACAGAATAGTGGGAGGGGTCTGGAAGCAGCTGAACAATCTGCTGCTGGAGACGGGGCAGGAAGATCTGCATGGCTGCGATGAGAGGGGCTCGCTCATCTGCCTTCTTATACCTGCAAGAAACAGGAGACATTTTACGATTACAATTGTCGGTTTTCCCTCCACCATAATTATTGCAGTTCCCCTGTGGCTATCGAACAAAAAAATGACACTCACTCATAAGTCTTCACCAGCTGGTATAGGCAGAGCAGACTGCCCAGCCAACTGCCAGTGTTCTGAGACTGCAGGTAGAAGCCGATCTTGTCCACCACTCCGGTCCACCGCCCCGGGAAATCGTGTTTAATGATTACGCGTAAGCAGAGAGTCAGCTGAGCCCTGCAGAAACACCAGACAGTTGATGCATTTACTATTATATTTATGACAACAGATTGCGACATGATGTCTTTTTTTTACCTTTTTAGAGCAACATCATATGCCAGAGTACTGTCAGGTAGGTTATACAGTTAAAGTGTACATCCAGGACAAAAACTTTTTTTTTACTTAGTTTAGGATAGTGCATAAAAGGATTAGAACCCCTGTCTGTTCTTTACTGCTATCTGGGGTTCTGTCAGTAACGTATCAGTGTAACACTTTCAGACATTTATTCCCTCTTCCCTCTCAACAATGACAGTACTCTCTCTGACAATGCTTTTCACACCAGGACGGAATCATCTCTGTTCAGACATCATCCAGGGTTACCATTTACTTACTAGACTTGAGATGCTGGCTCAGAGATGACACAATCATGTAAACCGTGCCCAGTTTTTTGGCTGTTTTCACAAATGTCTGGCACGGATCAGCCCCTGCTGCAGCTTTTTACCTTGTGACTTGCTACAAAATTACAATGTTGCAGTCTGGTCACTGGGGGAGAGGAGACTGACGAAATGCTACCTCCCACCTGCAGCAGACTGGGAGATCAGAGAAGACAGGATCAAACAGCCTTTTTACACAATGCGGTAGATTAACTGCTTAGGTTCCACAGTGAATATAACAAGCAAGCTTTACTCCATATACAGACTGGTTTTACTGTTCTGGGTTTAGCAACAATTTAAGTTTAATCAGTCAATATGTTGCTTTCCTTGGCTTCTCATTTACCCCCTTCATCAACAAGCTAATCACAATAAAACCTGTTTTCATTACATCATCACTGGGTCTTTGTACTTCTCTATGCAATGCAGGCAGATCACAGCTGGTGAGATGGACAAGCAGGGTGCTGTACGTAGCTTCTTGAAAACATCAGAGCAAAATCACCCGGATATTTCTGGTGTCCCCTATGCCTGACACTCAATATAAGGCCAACTTTTATGCAGATGATGCTCTTTTGGTTTTAACCAATCCTCTCATCACTCTCCCCAATCTCCAGGTCATATTGGACCGTTTTTTGACTATTTCTGGCCTTCACATTAATTTGTCTAAAACCACGGCATTGAATATTATGCTCCCTGCTGACCTGGTTGAACGGTTGCAGACACAATTTCCCTACCGTTGGGCATCCCATTCTCTGGCTTATCTTGGCCTTACACTTACTTCCTCCTACTCTGCCTCATTTTCGGCTAATTATTACCCCTTATTGCACTCTGTTACTTCCCTGCTTCATTCTTGGCAGTTTCCTTCTTTATCTTGGATTGGCCGGATAAATGCTGTCAAGATAACTATCTTGCAGAAAATTTTGTACTTTTTCCGCACTCTCCCTATTCAGGTCCCTGCGTCTTTTCTTCATGTACTGCAAAGCCGGATTCTCCATTTCATTTGGGCTCATAAGCGTCCCAGAGTGCCTAGAGCCACTCTGTATACTCATAGATTACAGGGAGGTTTGGGAGTTCCACATATTTCTAGATAGTACTTGGCAGCTCTGATTTCCCAGTTGTCTATGCTTCATGCCAAGACAGATATCCCGTTATGGGTACTCCTGGAATTACCCGACTGTGCTCCTCTTTCTTTAACTGCATTGCTTTGGCTCCCGCCTAAGTTGCGCCCTCCGGATTTGAGCCCTATCATGCTTCACAGTTTATGAACCTGGCATTCTGTTAAATATTCGGGTAATTTGATATCATTGTTTTTACCATTTTTGCTGATTGCACATAATCCTCTATTTCCACCAGGCCTAGAACATCCCCCTTCTTTCTCTTGGTGGACCTCCCATGGCTTTGTCATTGTACATGATTTCATGAGTGCTCGTAGGTTTCCATTATGGGAATCTCTTCGAGAGGCAAGGGGGGTCCCGCCACGGGAATATTATCGGTATTTGCAGTTGCGCCACTGGGTTTTAACCCTCCGTCGTACCTCTACATATCCTTACCGCAAAACGCCCTTTGAACACGTCTGTCAGCACTCCCCAGGGTCCCCTGGCCTTATTTCTGTAATTTATGCCTTTCTTAACAGTAGGTCCTCCTCATCACCCGTCTTATGTCTCTCAATGGGAGCGAGATCTGGGCGTCTTGATTGCGGCGGAGGAGTGGCGTAGGGCCTGGGGGATGGTGGCGAAATGTTCATTCAATACAGTCACTCTTGAGGCAGCCTATGAAGTTCTCCTGCGGTGATACTGGGTCCCAGCTCGGACTGCTCACTTTAATCCGACTGGCGGAGATAGGTGTTTCCGAGGTCTACGTGGGGACGTCTTACACATTTGGTGGTCATGCCCACGATTGATAGGCTTCTGGTCTAGGGTTTTTGGTTTGCTACAAACGCTATTTCATATTACGGTCCATAGGGATGCAAAGGTGGCCCTCCTGCATTGCCCAATTTTGGGTCTGTCTAGGTCTCAGCAGAAATTGGCATCCTATCTTTTTATTTCAGCCAAACGTGCTATAGCTCAAGCTTGGAGAACCCCTTCGGTTGTCTTGCAGGGGGTGAAGACCCAGATGAATGCTATGTTGTTCAATGAACAGATGTCTAGCATTCTTCATGATTCTCATCTGAGATTCCTTAAGGATTGGGAATCTTTGATACTTTATTCCTTGCCATCCCTGCCTCATACTAGTTATGGCCTCCTATAGTCGCTGCCTATGTTAGCCCCGGATCCGTGATCCTTCTAGTTTCCCTTCTTTCATGTTTCCTTTCTGATTCCCTCTTGTTTTATTTTCTTTTTCTTTTCCTCTAACCTGTAACAATCATGCACATAGGGAGAGGCACGGTTCTCCATTTTGCTCCAAACTTCTGCATTTTGGTATTTCTCTTAAACTCTTATGCAACCACCTGAGGGGGGAGGTGTAACAATCGTGCACACCAGAGGCAGACACGATCTTTATTTTGTTAAGAATCCTTCATGTTATCCCCTCATTTCCCCCTCCCTCAGGAATGCGTTCAGTGTATGTTGCTAAGTTCCCTGCCTTTACACAATCCTTTTACCAAATAAGGCAATTGGGTTCTGTTGTAAGAGACACCCCGTTGACTTTGGGTAGAAATAAGCTGTTATGCTTTGTGTGTAGAGAGAGAAGTGAGGATCTCCTGCGTTTAACATCTCGCAGAGAGAGAGAAAGCCGAGTCTCGCTGTAACATCGAAACTGAGTGGAGACCAAAAATCCTTTTTGAGCTCATCAGACTTGAAACTGCTTAACCCCAGGCATCTATTTGGCAAGTACTTATCTGCATAAATTTCTGTTATCTGTTTGCTGTGCTGTTGTGATCTGTATGTATATGTATGTATATATATATATATATATATATATATATATATATTGGTTATGGTTACATCTTTTTTCTGTAAATATTTCTACTGCACCCTTTTGACCTTTTAGTAATAAATCTTACTTTCTGAAAGTGTTGAACTGTTTCTATAGCTCTTTAATGTAACTTACGAATCCCTGCCACTGAAGAGCACTACTTTGAGTGTTTAACCCTCTGTATAACCTGTCTGCGGAGATAACAGTATACCGAAGATTAACCAATCATGCTAGTGTATTGCTGAGTTTCCTCTTTCTCTATACAAAAAGGAGGTGGTGGCAGTGTGAAGGGTTAATTGCGTAATTAACCTGACCCAGTAACAAACGCTCCCAGGCTGCAGGTGTATCGAATGTGGTCCAATTAGCTGGAAAATCGGTGTGCAGGGTGCAGCTGGGCGTGACATTGTTACGCACGTAACATCGTGGTTTTAGATTGGCTAGTACTTCAGTCACGAGTTTGGTGAGAAGGTCTGGGGTCTGACGCGCGATCGTCACATAACCTTTTTTCTTTTCTCTTCTTTTTTTTCCGATATTTTGTTGGATTACTGCTGCTATTTGGTTCGGCTTTTTTGCCGTTCCTTCTTGATGTCATTGGACATTTCGTTATTTGACTAATACAAGTCAGCAGGATGTCTCTGTTTATATGTTATTGTTCTGCTCTGCCCCTGCGAGGGCGTATTTTGACCTTGTTATATTCTTAAAACCAAAACTTTCTTAATAAAAATACTGAAACAGAAAACATCACAGCAACCTGCCTCAATTGTCCTCCCAAAAGCCCCCTCAGCCTGACACAAGCCGTGGGCTGGAATTATGCAAATATCAAAATGCCTTACCGTGCCCATTTTTTTGCTGTTTTCACAAATGCCTGGCACGGACCAGCCCCTGCTGCAGCCTTTTATCTTGTGACTTGCTACAAAATGACAATGTTGCAGTCTGATCAATAGGGGAGAGGACACTGAGGAAATGCTACCTCCTGCCTGCAGCAGATTGATGCCATCATCTCAGCTTAGGAAAAGCTAAAGTATGGCTTTTTAATGAGAAAATGTGGAGCTTTTCTGAAAAGTATACTTTTGCTGTAAATTGTGACATGTCAGGAATTTTTCTATGTGGAGATTTACAGTTACCGACAAATCTAGTTTATAAAAAATTTTTTATAAACAGTGTCTAAACCATGCAGTTTTACCCAAGTATAGTGATATTAAGAAAAGCGCCAAAAAAAATCTCCAACTCAGCTGCAAACCTTAACCCAAATCAGGTATAAATACTTAATAATAAAAGGAATGCGCTAATCATGAATACAATGTCAAATAATCCCAGACACAAAATATATATAAATCCAAATTAATAAGTGCAAAAATAAAAATAATGTCCACAAATCTTGTATAAAGTCCAACCACCATAAAGTGACAAATACTGCAACCTTGTATAAACAATTGGCACCGTGAAGAAAATCCACCACGGAATAGATTAAATAAACTCACCAGAGCGATATGCTGATCAAATTATAAATCAGCATAATCGCTATTGTTCTGGGAGCGATGATCTGTTGAGGTTTCCAAAGGTTTGGGAGTAATATACTGCAATCAGCCAATCAACATGGATGAAGAAACTTTGATATCAACCGGATCTCCTCTCTCTCTCTCCATAAATAAAGGCAATGCTCGGGGAATCAAGAAGAAATATATTGGTGCAATACGTTCTTTAAAACATAAGCTTTATTAAATGCCAAATGCAAACTCACAAGAAAGGTGTCTAAGCCGACACTAGCAATGACGGCCTCTGCAAATAACAAGGACGAGCCTCGCTCACCACGGTAGCCCAGCCGATAGTCTCGAAGAACGTCCTGACGTCACATCCATTAGGCCCCGTGGGCTTGATTCCCTGAGCATTGCCTTTATTTAAGGAGAGAGAGAGAGGAGGTCCGGTTGATATCAAAGTTTCTTCATCCATGTTGATTGGCTGATTGCAGTGTATTACTCCCAAACCTTTGGAAACCTCAACAGATCATTGCTCCTACAGCAATAGCGATTATGCTGATTTATAATTTGATCAGCATATCGCTCTGGTTAGTTGATTTAATCTAGTCAGTGGTGGATTTTCTTCACGGTGCCAATTATTTATACAAGATTGCAGTATTGTTTGTCACTTTATGGTGGTTGGACTTTATATAAGATCTGTGGACATTATTTTTATTTTAATTTATTTTTGCACTTATTACTTTGGATTTATATATATTTTGTGTCTGGGATTATTTGACATTGTATTCATGATTAGCGCATTCCTGTTATTATTAAGTATTACCCAAGTGTCTAGCAGAGAATGAGAGTGTGTTCCAGTATATAGGTACAGAACCAAAGAAGTTCTTCACTATAGTAATGGTAACAAAGGAAAAACGAAGAAGAGCAATGTCCCAAACCAGGATAATGAAACTGGCTCTTGGTTGGCAAGGCTACAGGAACACTTTGAATCTAAGCTTTGATAAATAAGCAATCAAAGTTACTCCATACCTTACAAGGTCAGGTGAGCGGATGATCCCCTCCACAATGTTATCACGGATTTGCTGGCGGTCATTTTCGTGTATGTTGAATGGGAAGATGACTTCTCCTGCCATGGGTTCTCGGTCAGGCCAGTACTGTGTCACCATGTTCTTTAGGTAGATGGCAGCTATGACAGAGGGGCTCATTAAAGTGCATCTCAACTACATAACAACATCAATTAAAGTGATTGTTTGCAGATTGAATTTATTGCATGCAATTTCTGTGGAAACAATAACAATCAGACTGTTGAGTGTATGACCACCACTGTGAGGACACCTTAACATACAGCAACAAAATGACAGATGACAGGTATACACTTACCGGCTTGTCGCACAGGAAACTCCACCTGATCAGACACAATGATTTGCAGCAATGTAGGAGCAAAGCTGATGATCTTGTAAGACTGGAGAGAAGAGAAAAACATTGAATGCACATCAAGAAATGTCTTGATATGGAGATCCTGTTTGTGTAAATATTAATCAGAACATTATTTCTACATATATGAATCTTGGGAAGCCATATTTCCCCCTTAAAGATAAAGGTTCTGTGTCCTATAGATATAAGTATACAGTTGTCCTTAAAAAAATTTGCATACCCTGGCAAAAATGATGAAATTTTGACATTGCTATTGAATATGTAACTGATGACTAGCTCCTTATTAAATCATAATGATAACAGAAATCACCCAAATGGCCCGGATCAAACGTTTCCATACCCTGGAATGTTTGGCCTTGGTACAGACACACAAGGTGACACACATGGGTTAAAATGCCAATTAGAGGTTAATGTCCCACATCTGTGGCTTTTAAATTGCAATTAGTGTCAGTGTATAAATAGTCACTGAGTTTGTTAGCTCTTACATGGATACACTGAGCAGGTTAGATACTGAGCCATGGGGATCAGAAGAGAACTGTCAAAAGACCTGCTTAACAAGGTAAAGATGGAAAAGGATATAAAAAAAATGTCCAAAGTCTTTAATATTCAAGTCAGTAACTGTTCAATCACTTGTTAAGTGGAAAATTCGGGGATCTCTTTATACCAAGCCAAACAAAGAATGACTGCAGCCACAACTGTTTGGGATACAAAGAAAACCCCACAGATAACCTCAGGAGAAATACAAGCTGCTCTGGGAAAAGACGGTGTGGTTGTTTTTAAGAAGCACAACACAATGATACCTGAACAAAAATTAGCTGCATAGTTGAGTTGCCAGAAAGAAGCCTTTACTGCACCAATGCCACAAAAAGCCCAGTGACAATATGCCCAACAATACCTTGACACACCTCACTGAGTTTTTTTTTTGAGGCATTTGCACAGTAAAAAGTTCTTTCTGGCAACTCAACTATGCAGCTCATTTTTGTTCAAGTACAAAACAACCACACCATGCTTTTTTCAGAGCAGCCTGTATTTCTTCTGAGGTTACCTGTGGGTTTATCTCTGTATCCTGAACAATCATTCTGTCAGTTATGGCTGCAATCTTTCTTTCTCTCCCTGACCTTGCCTTGGTATTAAGAGGTCCCCAAATTTCCCACATCTTTATAAGTTGTTGAACAGTACTGCACATTCAAGGCTTTGGATATCTTTTTTTATATCCTTTTCCATCTTTATAAAGTTCCATTACCTTGTAAAGCAGGTCTTTTGACAGTTCTTTTCTGATACCCATTGCTCAGTATCTAACCTGCTCAGTGCACCCACATAAGAGCTAACAAACCCATTGGCTAGTTATACACTGACACTAATTGCAATTTAAAAAAGACACAGATGTGGGAAATTAACCTTTCATTGCCATTTTAACCTGTGTGTCTGTACCAAGGCCCAACACTCCAGGGTATGGAAACGTTTGATCATGGCCATTTGGCTGATTTCTGTTATCATTAAAATTTGAAAAGGAGCCAAACAACAATGTGATAATAAATGGCTTCATATGATCACTATCCTCAAATAAAAGACAGTGTTTTGGCATGATCAATCATATTTTTAATATAAATGCCAAAATGTCACAATTTCTGCCAGGATATGCAAACGTTGAGCACAACTGTATATGTATACATTCATATAAAGCCCTGGGCAGATACAAAGGGATTTACACACCAGGTCATTTTATCTGCTCTCTCAAGGCCATCCATCTCTGGCAATTGGCATCATTCTCTCTAAAGCTGCAGAAATCTCTCTGACGATAACTTCTACATAATTAGCGCTGCAGTGCAAAATTATACGTTGGGGGTACAATAATATACCCCCTCCTTTACACTATCACCTCTATGAGGGCAGAATCATGTACCCCTCCCTTACGCTATCACCACTGGGGGGGAAATAATGCACCCCTTCCTTACCCTAATACCCTAGGGGGATAGGGGAGCAGACTGATGTACCCCTCCATTACACAATCACTCCTGGGTTGGGAGGGAGAAATATGTACTTCTCCCTTATCCTGTCTCCCACTGGGGAGGGGGGTGTACCCTTCCTCTACACTATTACCCCTTACACAACGAAGAATGATGAACCCCTCCTTTACAATACCACTCCTGGGTTGGGTGGGGAGATTGCACACCCCACCCATATCACCCCTGGGGGGGCAGAATGATGTACTCCTCCCTTACACTATTACCCCTGGGGGCAAAATGATGTACCCCTCCCTTACATTATAACCCCCGGGGGGCACAATGATGTACCCCTCCCTTACATTATAACCCCTGGGGGGCAGAATGATGTACCCCTGCCTTACACTATTACCCCTGGGGGGGCAGAATGATGTACCCATCCCTTATATTATAACCCCTGGGGGGCAGAATGATGTACCCCTCCCTTATACTATTACCCCTAAAGGTGGTGTGGAGGGGGGGGAGAATATGATGTACCACCTCCCTTATACTATCACTCATAGGGGTCAGAATGATGTAAACCTCCCTTACACTATTACCCCTGGGGGAGGCAGATTGATGTACCCCTCCCTTATACTATTACCCCTAAAGTCTATGTCTGTTACCCCTCCCAAGCCCTATTACCCCTGCGGGGGCAGAATGATATACCCCTCACTTACACTATTACCCCCGGGGGGGGGGGGCAAAATAATGTACTCCTCCCTTACATGGTTGTCCCTGAGTTGGGGACAGAATTATGTATCTGTTTCTCCTCCCCAGCCCTATTACCCCTGGGGGGGCAGAATGATGTACTCCTCCCTTATCCTATTTCCCTCAGGGGATAGAATGATGTAACCCTCTCCTACACTATTACCCCTTGGGGGGGTAGAATGATGTACCCCTCTCTTACACTATTACTCCAGGGAGGGGGGTAGAATGATGTACCCCTCTCTTACTCCAGGGAGGGGGGCAGAATGATGTACCCCTCTCTTACTCCAGGGAGGGGGGCAGAATGATGTACCCCTCTCTTACTCCAAGGAGGGGGGCAGAATGGTGTACCCCTCTCTTACACTATTACTCCAGGGAGGGGGGTAGAATGATGTACCCCTCTCTTACTCCAGGGAGGGGGGTAGAATGATGTACCCCTCTCTTACACTATTACCCCTGGGGGGGGGGGTAGAATAATGTATCCCTCTCTTACTCCAGGGGGGGCAGAATGGTGTACCCCTCTCTTACACTATTACCCCTGGGAGGGGGGGTAGAATGATGTACCCCTCTCTTACTCCAGGGAGGGGGGGCAGAATGGTGTACCCCTCTCTTACACTATTACCCCTGAGGGGGTAGAATGATGTACCCCTATCTTACATTGTTACCCCATGATGTACCCCATGTAATGACAGGATTACCCCAGGATGGTGTCAGCCCAGTGACTACCCCCACCTGGTTGAGCTCGTTCTCGGCCGCCAGCCTCATCTTGGGGTCTATGGTCCCCCGCAGGGCCTGAATGATCCGGTTCGGATCCATTGCTGTGGGAATCAGAGCTGATCACTCGGCTCAATAGCGAATGCCGGGCATCAAAGTATCACTTTACGACCGGACTCCTCACACTGCTGCCGCAAACTATCGCGCCGTACGGAATCCATCAAACACTCCAGGCGGCCATACTGTACGGATGAGCATGCGCACTACGAGACAGAACACCCAGAAGTGGGAGCTGGAGGGGTCGGAATGAGGTCCTTGTGGAGGGCGGGATGTCAAAGTGACAAATGAAACATTGTGATAATGTCAGTGTGCGCAGGATACTTTCCTTCTGTGACACAAAGTATAACATTCGAGAGGAGGAGAAGGTTGCTGGCAGGGTATTTCTTTCTGCTCGTGACTTCACATCAGGCACTCCCCTCCTATTCTTGTATCGGTGTCACAAGGGCAGGAAGTGGGGCTAAATCTCCAATAGGGGATCACCGACAGATGTAAAACCTGACAGGAATTTGATTTGTATTCTTCTTCACACTCTAGTTAAGGCATGACTTGGCTTGTTAGCATGCTATTTTACCTGATACACACATACAGTATAGCCAATAATAAAAGGCTGCTTCTTCCTGCACACTGGGCATTGTTACCAAACTCTATCCGTCATGTCTGAACACAAAACAGCACAGAAATGTTGTCATGTGACCTGCTTTGCATACTAATTCATCACAATGGGACCGCCTGCGTCCAAAGAAACGCAGTGAAGGTCAAACAGCCTCAGAACCGCCATTGACGATGTACAATTGAGGACAATAGGAATCCGCGGAGCTGTGCTTTAACAGCAGGAGAACAACACCCATCTACGCCAACCCTAAAGTAGAGATAATGACAGAAGCTTTTTTTTTTATCATTTTGGATAGAGAAAGAGGGAGGGATAAATCCACTGTCATTTTATTCATTTATTTTGCCATCTAGGTCCCATTGGGGAGATTTCCCTTCACTTTCAGTCCCAAAACAGGAAGTAAAAGGAAATCCCTCCAAAGGGAAGGAAATTCCTGTTACCCCTGGTTCACACCAATGCGTTTTTTAGGGCTAGTTCACGCTAGATGCAGTCCAGTGCATTTTTTTCTGCATCAAAACTGCATGCAAAGTGTTTTCCATGTATTCCAGTGGCCCTAGTTCACACCAGTGCAGTCAATTCCAGCAGGGGCGTCCCTAGGGTTGGTGTCACCCGGTGCGATAATACCTGGTGACACCCCCTCCGACGATCCCCGCAGAATGAAATGGATCTGCAGATTGAGCATAATGGATTGGACTGCGATCCATTATGCTCCCCAATCCGCAGATCCGATCCATCCTGCAGGGATTGTCGGCACGCAACTTATACGGGGTGACACCAGACCCGCTCCACAAAAAGGTAAGTTGTAAAGAAAGCCGACGATCCCCGCAGGATGGATCGGATCAATCCTGCGGGGATCGTCAACTTGCTTTACAACTTACCTGTTCGTGGAGTGGGTCCGGTGTCACCCCGTTTGGTCAGTGTCACCCCGTGCAGCGTGCACCCCCCGCACCTGCCTCGGGACGCCACTGAGTTACAGTCAGTTTCTGGTGCAGAAAGAAACAACTGAGTACTGTCCGTGATACTTTTTCACTAATACGGCTACAATCACCTCAAGCAAAATGGTGCAGAAAGAAAAGTAGAACATGCTGCATTTTCTTCTGCACAGAGCCATACTAGAACATAGCAAACTGCATCAAAATTGCACCAGAACTGCGTGTGGTGGAACTGTCAGCAAAAACGTATCCGGAATGCATCTGGAGTGCGTTTTTGTGGTGTGAACTGGCCCTCAGTGCTTTTTTTGCAGAAATGCCCTACAGTCCATTTAACATGGTTTCCTATGAGACACGTTCACATCTGTTGCATTCCTGGAAAGGCTCAGGGACTTTGTTAGTCCTCATGCACACTGGACGTTTTTACAGCAGCTGTTTTTCACGTTTGGCGTTTTTTTCTACAGTCAATAAACTCCCCAGAATGTTATCCTATGGGTCCATGCACACATAGGCTGTAATCAACGTTTTTTTAGCTGGGATGTTTTTTGGCTGAAAAAAAAAACAAAACTAGTAAGGCTGGCCATACATTATACAATTATCTGCAGATTTTCTGCCCAATTTCCTTTAGATTTACCTTCAACTATGTAGTGCAAGGGCCTGCCTAATTGGATACAACTGAAAGTTTTGTTTAGGTTTGTCCTCCTATTATATGGTTTTTGGTAAATCTAAACCAAAAATCTGCAGATAATTGTATAATGTATGGCCAGCCTAAGTTTCTAGAAGAGTTTTTTAGTTGCAAAAATGCTCTAACAATGAAAAACGTGGCCAAACGTGGTAAAATGGTGCAAACTGGTGTTTTTGGAAGGTTTTTTGACCAAAAAAACCTCCCTAAAAAGTGCAAAGGCTTATGGGGAACATTCCATGTAGAAATTAAGTGTTTTTGAATGGCATAGGCAGTTTAACCACTAGCCAACTGTGCTATAGCTGAATGACGGCTGCAGCACGGCTGTCCAGTTCTGGGCTGGCATGATATGATGTCCCCCCAGAACACACCCTCCCAGTGGCGCGCATCCAGCGATCTCTGTGATCAGACACAGCAGATCACCGAGTAAATACAGTTGCCGGTTATTGGCAGCACTTTCTTCATGCTGTCACAACGTGAGGAAAGTACTGCTAATAACCGGCAGCTGTCACAGAGCAGATCCACACTGATCATCAGGGCACTCATGATCAGTGCCTTCAGTGCCGTCCAGCAGTGTCACCCATCAGTGCCCCCTAGCAGTGCCACCCATTAGTGCTGCCCAGCAGTTGTGCCCAGGGGCGGACTGACCATTTGAGCACTGCCAGTAGGTCAGTAGGGGGCCTCATGAAATGCCCCTGGTACCTTTTTTATAGGCTTTTTTGAGCGTGGACACAGGGGCTCCATGATCCCCTATTGCCCGGGGGCCCCATGAGTTGTCAGTCCACCCCTGGATGTGCCCATCAGTGCCACCAGTCAGTGCCGTCAGTCAGCGCCGCCCGTCAGTGTCGCCTATCAGTGCCGCCTATCAATGCCCATCATTGCTGCATATCAGTACAGCATCATCAGTGCCACCTCATCAGTGCTGCCTACCAGCGCCACCTCATCAGTGCCCATCGGTGCTGCCTCATCAATGCACATCAGTGAAGGAGAAAAATTACCTGTTTTATAGCTTATTATAATTTTATAATAGAAACAAAGAAAAACTTTTTTGTTACTCTTTTTTGTTTATATACCGCAAAAAATAAAACACCCAGTGGTGATTAAATACCACCAAAACAAAGCTCTATGTGTGTGTGAAAAGATTAATACAAATTTCATATGGGTACAGTGTTGCATGAGCGCACAATTGTCATTCAAAGTGTGAGAGCGCTGAAAGCTGAAAATTGGTCTGGGCAGGAAGGGGGTATAAGTGCCAGGTAGGCAAGTGGAGGGACGGGGAGATGTCTACGATGATATAAGACGTGGGCAGCCAAAACGCAATGGATGGATGCAAATGTGAACATGCGAACCCTCCTACACTCAGATCGAACATTGAATGTGCAAATGATGGCAGAAGAATTGAAAAGAAAATGCAGTGAAAAAAAATGCTGAGGTATTGGATCATTTTTTTTCAGTCCATTCTGGGAATTAAATTGTAGCACCTCGTTATACATGCATCTGTGGGTTGGGAAAGCCCTAGCCGTAGATGGTTTGGCCCAGTATAGGTGACAGATCCCTGGCAGACTCACTCAGGTGGGTTTTGGATTTGGATCCAAATGTGCCTGAGCTCATTCCTATCTGCCAGTGTAAATGAGGCCTCAGGCCTGGTTCACACCTATGAATTTTTCAGTTTTGCAGAACCGCATTAAAGTCCATTTAAAATGGTTTCCTATGGGTCACGTTCACATTTGTGGGTTTTCCACCATTTTGGAAATGGTCAGGTACTTTTTTTTCCCCGCAGCAGGTTGTGTTTTTGGTTCCATAGACTTCAGTGGAAACGCATTAAAAAAAAGCAGAGCTTGCATTTGTGATGTGTTTCTGCTGTATTTTTGCTGGTTTCTCCCGCAAGACAACAGACACCTGCTAAGTGCATCAGAACACTTGTGAAAAAAACCTCAAAATGCACCAAGAAAATAAAAATTAACAGTAACCTGCATAGATGTGAAGCAGGCTTAATGCGGCTCATGCAAGCACCACACACTAACATGCACTGGATTAACCTCTTCTTAGCTGCACGTGAGCCAAATGACAGCTACAGCACGATTGTCCAGTTCTGGGAGGGCGTCATATGACATCCTCCCAGAACGCGCACCAAGCGACACACACCCGGCACTGTCTATGATCAGCTGTGTCCTTTGGACACAGCTCACATGACTTGGTAAAGGGCCAATCACAGCGGCCTTTTACCACATGATCAGCTGTGTCCAATCACAACTGAAAACCATGTAAATACACTTGCAAGTTATCGGCAGTACTTTCCTCATGCTGTCATAGCGTGAGGAAAGTAGTGCTGATAACCAGCAACTGTGAAAGCGGAAATCTACACTGATAAACAGGGCACTGGTTATCACTGCAGCCCCAAAAGTGCCCAGCAGTGCTGCCAATCAGTGCCCAGCAGTGTTGCCCATCAGTGCCATCAGTCCGTGTCCATCATTGCCGCCTATCAGTGTTGCATATCAGTGCATCCTCATCAATCCCCACTAGTGCTGCCTCATCAGTGCAGCCTATCAGTGCCCATCAGTGCAGCCTATCAGTGCCCATCAGTGCTGCCTATCAGTGTATCCTCATCAATGCCCACAGTGCTGCCTCACCAGTGCAGCCTATCAGTGCCCATCAGTGCTGCCTATCAGTGTATCCTCATCAATGCCCACTAGTGCTGCCTTATCAGTGCAGCCTATCAGTGCCCATCAGTGCTGCCTATCAGTGCAGCCTCATCAATGTACATCAGTGTAGGAGAAAAAATTACCTGTTTGCAAAATTTTATAATAGAAACAAAGAAAAA